TGGTTTTTCGAGACAGGGTTTCTCTGTGGTTTTGGAGCCTGTCCTGGAACTAGCTCTTGTAGACCAGGCTGGTCTCGAACTCACAGAGATCCGCCTGCCTCTGCCTCCCAAGTGCTGGGATTAAAGGCGTGCGCCACCACCACCCGTTGTTCTGGCTTTTTGGAACCCATTCTCTCTGGAGGGATACTTTGCTCAGCCTAGATATAGGGGGAGGGCCTTGGTCCTGCCTCAAAGCAATGTGCTAGACTTTACTGACTCCCCATGGGAAGCCTTAGCCTCTCTGAGGAGTAGATGGGGGTGGAATAGAAAGTGGGAAGGGGGTGAGAAAGTGGAGGGAGCAGGAGGAAGGGAGGGAGTGGGAAAGTGATTTGGCATGTAAAATGAGAAAAGATAGTTTTTTAAAAAATAAATTAAAAATATATAAGAAAAATTTAAGATCTGTACTATTTGTCAGGTTATTGTCTTATCAGTGGGTAAGAAAGAATTGTCAAGGTTGCAGTTAAACAGAAAGAAAAAATTCTTTCAAAATGAGGATAGAACACATTTGAAATCAATAAAAAGCAAATTTGTTCTCTATGTTTATAGAAATGAGAAAAGTAAATTTGGCCAAGCTCCACATCTATCCCTCAGTCTGGTCGCAGCCACAATAACAGCCGTCAGCCTGGTCTCTGCTGACACAGCTGTCACATTTGCGCTGTGGCAAGCGACAAGTTTCCCGAGTCATTAGCTTCATGCCCTGCTTTGGGTTGCTCTGTTTCTCCTTCTGAAGGCTGTTTCTCAAACAACTTAGCTCTTTCATTCTTTTCTTGTCTATGACAAAAGAGGGCCGTGAAACAGCCACTGGAGAGACTAACGCATAGCCACGGACTACTCCGCTAATTCCACAGACTCGTCGCCTCCTACGCGTGGGCGAATTAATTCTCCCATCTGACAAACCATTCTGCAGCGACGGCTGCAAGACACAAGTTGGCTTCGTGCTTCCATAACTAAACTGACAGAAGTTGCACCAGGTCCAGCCATATCTAGCCGATTTACTTGTCTTTTAAACGGTTTTCTCATGAAGCAGGCATAAGAATGACAGGCCTGTTTAAGCAGCTGAATTAGTAGGCAACTTGGAAGCAAAATAGGTATCACATAAAATATGAATGTAGCCGAAGTATGTTCATCTTTCCTCCTACCTGCTCAAGAGACTTGAGATGTTATTTTAAACATCAAGAAATACAGCTCGGAGATCATTCTGTCCATTATAATTGCAGAAGATATGTCAAGTTCAACCAAGGAAGTAGTAAGATGACTTATAGACTAACAATGGGTCATAGCTGAACATTTTAAAGGTTTCGTAGACTCGTAGACTGGTGTGTAAATACCAGGTCGCTAAGTGGCCTCTGAGAGAGGGACATTTCTATCAGAAGGGTCACTAGATGCATGTGCGTTTTTACAGGGTCGTTTTACTACGTAGTATGTGCGAGGCCACCTTCAGCAGCCACTTCCTGTCAGCTGCTGCAAAGGCCTTCCATAGCAGCGGGTTTCCAAGATGCCCCCATTCTCACTACCGGATACGAATACCTACAGTGATAGTGCTGAGCTTTGCAAGCAAGAGGGAAATGATGGTCACATCACAACAGTGCATCGCGTCCGAGCCTTAGTTAGAAAATAACACGGTGGCTTCCACCTGGTTCTCTCCTGAGTCAGTTATTCAGAACAACCACTGACCACGTTCTGAGGTTCTTCAAGCAGCCCTGTGGAAACATGGGGTGGCCGCCCACACGCAGACACGGGAATGAGCCATCTTTTTGTCACTACAGCCCATGCCAACGTGACTGTGATTGCAGGCCACACCCCAGGTCAGAACACCCTGGCCAGTCGCTAGCTAGGAAGTGTCTGACCCACAGACATTACACAAAATGATAACGCGGACTGTCATTTTAGGTCTCTAGTTTGTGGGTAACTCAAAATAGCTTCAAGAAGTCCCTGAAACTGACCAGATTCACTAGGCTCCTCTCTCGCAAGAGTAAACAATTAAGACCGCGGAGAGTTGCTCTTAGAGGAGCCAAGCTACAAAGACTTGAAGACCAGATGGGCTGCCTGGAGGAAGCAGAAACCAGCGGAGCTGCCTGACAGTTTGAGCTTCTTGGAAGGGACAGTCTTCAGCTGCTGAGCTGTCTGCAGGCTGTGCAGTGTGCTCCGGGTCCCCTGCCTCGTGAGCTGTCACCCGTGCTAGAGTGGGCTTTGGTGATACAGCTGTCTGGGGTCCTTTCTGTTCCTGTAAGAAACCCCTTACCCATATTCCCTTTAGTACCCCCCTTCCTAGATATAATATTATATTTGGTTTAGAAGTTCAAGTACCTGCGCTTGGTAAGAAAAGCATCTCACTTGTTTGTTTGTTTGTTTGTTTATTTATTTATTTATTTTATTTACCGAGGCAGGTATTCTCACTCACAGCAATCTTCCTGCCTCAGCTTCTCGAGTGCTGAGATTACAGGCACGAGTCACCACACCTGCCATTCATGCCGTTTTTTTTTTTGTTTTGTTTTGTTTCTTTCAAAAGCCGACCTGTTATACCCAACCTTCTCACTTAGATTTAAGCATCTTCGTGAAATGGGCTCTAAAATGATCATGCAGCTAGGCTAACTAACGAGACCACGGGACCACAAACACCCATGCCAGCCACTTTGCTGGCAGAACAGTGTGTTTTTTTCTTTTCGAGTTCACCAGAGAACAAGAGTAGAAACCATGGATGCAATAAGCCTGGCAGAAAGCAAGAATAGTCTGTACACCAACACTTATTAATGAACCTCAGCTACCCTGCCTCTAGATTGGACAGTAAGCCACTCGGCAGGAGTGTCTCAATATTCCACGGGGGCCATATTCACAGACAGAGCGCTCAGTGCTTTTTGTAGCCTGGCCATGTGAAGGAATCTGTCTCCACCATTACACTCAGTGCTGGCTTCTTCTGTCCTTCGGTCCACCTCCCGATCCAGTCAAATATATATTATATCAACCATGTCCTTTCTAAACTCTTACTTTAGGAGTGAAATGAACTGCCTGAGTATCCCAGCAGAATCAGTCACACAGCTAAATTAATTAACTAATAAATTAGGGGGTGCCGAGGGTTGAGCCTAGGGCAACACAAGCGCTCTGCTGCTATGATGTTTAATTTGGAAGTTGCACAGGTCAGCCTCGAATGTCTGAGCTTCCTGCTTCCAGGCTTCTGAGCAGCTGGGATTACAGTCGGATACAACAGCATGCCCAGCAAGGCTGATTTGTTTTTTTATAATATGATCTTGTTTGTTTGTTTTTATGACAGACCTGTTAGTTAAAATTTCAGTATCTGGATTCACAGGTACACAATGAACCCCCTGGGACTTGCTAAACTGTTAAGGGCAGGAAGTTGGGAGAAACCTTCCAAGATGGGCAGCATTTTGGAGATCCATCTGTTTGTTGGCCTTTGGCATTGGAAGTCATGTCATTTCACCCAAGAATGAGAAAGAGCCCAAAGCAAGCATCACTGTGTTCTAAAAAGATTTTCTCCTCAGGAAGTGTGCCCTTCTTTACACTGGAGGAACTAAAGCTGACTCGAAGAAGGATACAGAAATCACTCAGCACCTCACAGCTGCCTCCAGGCCTCATGGGGCAGGATAGAGAGGCCCAGAGTAAGCACACAGTGAGTGCAAGTGTGTGCATACGTGTGCAAGCATGTGTGTGCTTACACAGGACGGATTGGAGAGGTACTTGGTGGGGAGACTTCTCACCATTTCTCTTCCTGGCCTCCTCCTTTGTCACTTTCTGCTGTGTCATTCCGTTCTGGGGTGAGCGCCTCCCCGAGCTGGGCTTCCCTGATTCGTTGCTGATGACAGAACCATTCTCACTGGGCGACCTGCTGGAAGTAACCATAGCAACAGGGTAGACAGTAAGTTTCGACAAGAACAGCCTCCTCTCAAGGTTATGTTATTTGTACAGTTTATGTCTGCAGGCTTTTTCATTCCTGTTTCAGTGGCAAAGAAGAAATGATACAAGAGACAAAAGAAACAAAAGCCACCCACACGCACCCACGCTTGCTCGCTCACAGGCGGGGTAGCCGGTTGTCCGGAAGTACACTTGCTGTTTTAGGCTCTCTAGACAAGTTCGATGAGCCCAGCCCTCGATCCCAGCTCTGTTTCATTAATCCACCACCTATCTCGGTGACTGCGGGGATAGTAGTGACACTGGCTGTGTAACACACCCTCCTTTCACAAGCTCTCTGGATGCTGAGTGTTTGCTCACATGAGCATCTTCAGCCAGGCATAAAACAGGGTCCTCTTTGGCTGTTCACCACAACACAGACCTACATGGCCAGTACAGATATAGTCTTCCCATTATGGGGTCTCCACTCTGTCTGCTAGTCACACTTGAACACTCCTGACTACCTACTACATGTGTTCTGAAGCACTGATTTGAGCTGTACATTCCTCTAGGGAAAACCTCTTGTTGCCTTTTTTTCTGTGCAAAGCATCACGCCGGGTAGACGAGTCTATTGACATCTGAGGGCAAACAGCTGGGGTGCCTACTGTGTGCCAGGGACTATGCTGAGTGCCTCCAAGCCTGGTCCCTGGTCACAATAATGATCCCTGACTTGGAGGTGGTCCACCGTGGTCAGAAAGCAAGGAGTGTGAATGTCACGGAAGCCAAGAGTGGTTTCCAGGGCTAAGCAAGGCAATGCCAAGTCACCTAACCCCGGAACATGTCTCAGGCAGCAATCTCAGATGGGAGCAAGTCATAGGGCCTTCATCCTTCTGCAGGACTGGACTCTCACCTCCAGAACTCTGTGGGGAATTGGGCTCTCGAGACTTTGCTGTCTCTGGAGTGTGCTCTCCCTCGGACCTCACAGCCTACCTGGGGACAGACTGAGCGGAAATACTGACCTCCCTGTGTGGAAGACGATGAGGGGACAGATGCCTAGCCATCTCTTGTACTTCTACCGTCAGTCACTCACATTTAGAAAATACAAACTAACGCTTGCAATGGAACACTGAGCGGAATCAACGCCTTGATCATTGGGGGAAGCTGTGCATTCCAGCACACTCCTCTTCTTCCTCTCCCACCACCTGTGTGGGTTTAGAATGTTGGCACCTGTGCTGGCTAGTCCTATGGTCAACTTTACACGCAAACTAGTTAGCTGAAAGGAGGGAACCTCAACTGAGGAAAAGGCTGCCATAAGGTCTGGCTGTAAGGCATTTTCTTAAATAGTGACTGATCAGGGAGGGGTCATCCCATTGTTGGTGGTGCCATCCCTGGCTTCTATAAGAAGACAGGTTGAGCAAACCAGGGGGAGCAAGCCAGTAAGCAGCACCCTTCCATGGCCTCTGCATCAGCTCCTGCCTCCAGGTTTCTGCCCTGCTTGACTTCCTGTCCTGACTTCTTCGGTGATAAACAGCAGTGTAAGTCAAACAAACCCTTTTCCCCCAACTTGTTTTTTTTTTTTTTTTTTTTTTTTTTTTTTTTTTTTTTTTTTTTTTTTTTTTTTTTTGTTATGGTGTTTCATTGAAGCCATAGAAACCCTAAGACAGAACTCTACAAGTCACCAAGACTGAAGGTTCGGATGTCTGGGATGAGGCGGCACCTGCCAAGCATGTTCTGTAGCACACAAGAACTGAACATTTGCACACAGGGCTTGGGAAATGCTCACTGCGTTCCTTCTTTGGTTACCGCTAACTGTGGTAGCATATTAAAGGCTTTAATCAATTCTGTCCTGGATTCAGTTTGTTTCACTTAATCTTCTAACTTATGTGACTGAAAAAATTTCAACAGTTTGCCACATTGGTGCTACAAAGACTATAGGTGGGAAATACAGATGAGGCATTAAGTGATTGAATGTATACTTATATATATCATATAATATTGCATATTATATAAATATATATCACGAATATGCAATATATTAATTAATTTATATTAATATATAAATTAGTATATATTAATTACACACCAGCTATTTGAGCACTGAATTCTGGTTGTGGGGAAAAGGCACACATACATAGAGACATATAGATAGACAGAGAGGAGACATACACCCTTGAATTGTTTCTGGAATCTGAGAGCTAATGGCACCTACTTTCCAGCTGACTTTATTAGATAAAAAGATTTTCATTTAACTCTAGGGAGGGTGGGGGAGGGGAAGGCCTTTTGTAATCTATTTTACTTTTGTATAAGCTACTTGGTGATTTTTGTAACATTTTAATCTTCTTTCCCCATTTGCTCTTGAGAGAGTCTTCTGGAGTTTCTCTCACTCTGAGAAAGGTGACAGCAAACACCTATCTGTGGGCAAAATTCCAATCTGCTTTGTTCTTTGTCTCTGTCTATATACCTCTGTTTACAATGAGTATCCAACTCCAAACTCCTTGCCAAAAACAAAAAGTGTATGTGTAGCATATGTGTGCACATGGCACTAATCAAAGCAAGTACAAGTCAGCGGAGAGACTGAGACCTAAGGTGACAGAGCTCAATGGTCCTTTGCTGGAACTGCAGGCAGAGGTGGGCTTTTATGGGGACTAACCAACTCCTACACAGTATGACTCATCAGTAGTGTGAGAATCCTTTCCAGATGACTGTCCTATGAGGTTGACCACCCATCAACCTTGACCTGGCCCATCAATCCCAACCACAGGTGAACAAAAAGAGCATCACCAAGTCTCCAGACAGGAGGAAGGGGACCTGAACACTGCCTATCAGGCAGGCCAACAGTGACTAACTGATCAGACTTCTGCTTTTAAAGAATCTTTAAAAATTTGAGAATATCAAATAACTACTAAATCATTGATTTTTCACTTGCAAATTTGGGGGATTCATCGAGCAAATCCATTTTGAAAGGGCTTACAGTCAGTCCACAGGAAGCCAGAATGTAGAAATTGATGTGGCAAAATCAGAAACCTGATTCATAATGGGTTTGGTCTTAGATTTGGTAGTTAAATAAGTCTGGGGAGGAAGCTCAATTGGTAAAGCGCCTGCCATAAAAGCAAGAGAACTTGAGTTTGGTGGTGTGTATCTTAGTGCAAGGGCAGGGACCTGCGCATCCCTAGAACTTGATGGGCAACTAATCTACCCAGCATGGGGTTCAGTGAAAAAAAAGGAAGAGGAGGAAAGCCATGGAGGAAGACAGGAAGACACCTGACCTTGACCTGCCTCCACATGAATGTGGACACATGCACACACTCAAACACACATGTACTATACATGAATACACACAATCTCCACAAATGATCTTAGACTTCCATGATCAGACACAGACAAACAGAGATGAGGTTTATGTAACAGTCTGGGCAATGTTATAACCCGCCTTTAGTAAAATTACATTTTTATGACAAAATAAAGGAGCAGATGCAGAAATCATGCTGCAGTGTGGAAATTGCTCCCTTTCTCTTTATTTCATAAGCTAGCATTTCTTAATAAAAATGGGAACACATAATTGAACTTAATTATCAAGAGGTGAATCCTTGCTTAGTCAAGGAGAAATGCTTGTTTTCAAACAAATTTCAAAAATCAATCCCTGTAGGATTTAAATTATTCAATCTGAATAGGGAGGAAAGAATTTTTATTCTTCCTGGAAGAGCTGCATCAATACCTTAATTTAGTAAGTCTTCCTTTTCAGTTCCTTGTAAATGGGTGAAAAGTTGCCAGCCTGACTTTATTGTGCTTGGCAAGGATCAGCAAGAGAGTAATGCTATCAGCCACACAGCGGCTGCGTCCTCTAGGAAAACCATCTGCCTGCTGTGTTTCCATTCTGTTCTGTTCGCTCTCCTATGCTGGGGAGACCACTGCAGTAATGGTGCCAGCTCTGTTCATCCCTCCGTGCAACCAAACTTTGGGAAGTCTTCTACAGTGTCTCAAAACTTGACCACATGACTTGGTTGGCCAACAGGAAGGAAAGGAACATGACAGAAGACTTGAGAAATTCTTGCATTGGGGGCTGTTTTTCTTGCTGCCCTTGAACCCTTGGAACCCCCTTGTGAAAAGTCCGATGGAATTGGTCTGCTGGAACATGAGCCCATGTGGAGAGAGGACTCGTGTCCTGGGTCCCCTCAGACAAGGCTGTTGGCAACAAGGCAGCCTGCTTGACTCAATTTCTATCACCTGATTGGTGTGCTGCTAATTCCAGATAACATCGGCCAGAGCTCAAGCTACTGGCCCACCCGAATCATGAGCTGAACAAATGGCGGTTTGTTTTAAGCATCGAAGTGTTGGAGGGCTTTGTTATGGGGCCATTGGTGACTAATTTATGCCTTCAACTTTATTTTCCACATAAGGTGAAATCCACCGCTCTGCTCTTTACTTCATTTTAAGGTACCAGTAGCTTCTGGAATAAAACACAACTCTGTTGCTTGACTTCACGCAGAGCTTTTCCTATGAGCAAAGCTCTTTGAAGCAGTTGAGGATGGTGGCTGACATTAGCCTCAGACCTCCACATACACACGCACACCTACACCTGTGCCTACACACATTTGAACATTCGTGCAAGTGCACACCACACACGCATGAAAATGGAAAAAGAAAAAAGAGAAAGGAAATAACTCTGCTGGCGTTAGGAGGACTGTAAAAATGTGTGGTGTGGAATTCTGCCCCCAGGAATTTGGAGATGGGAGAGACATGGAGGCTAATGATCTACAGTGGGGTCCCTTTGTCGTCCTCAGATTACTTTGTCTCTTGACTTCTTGACTTCTCTTCTTGTCTTCCTCTCATCCTGTTTTGCATCTTCCCTTTGCTGTGCTGACTTTGGCTCATCATCAACACCTCCAACCACTGCAATGCTTCCAAGGCTTAGTTCTCGGAGCGCTTCCTTTCTCTGTCTCCCCTCTCCTGGATGAGTCTTTCCAGTCTCGTAGGAAAACAAAACTCCACCAACTCCCATGACTGTATCTTTACTTTGAGCCTCTCCTGCGAACTCCAGACTCATACAATGAATGACTCTAGCACTGCCGTTTGTGTATCTACTGGGGACAGATAAGTTGATCTCCTTCCAGCTTTCACTAAACAAACACATGGCAAAGGCACTTCACTCATTTCCAAAGCCTATGGCAGCCTAAGGCCAGCTTCCTTCACAGTATTTCTCACCGTCCAGCCATTGCACCACAGTGCTTACTCTCTCTTGCCTGGGCCTCCTGGGGTTTCCTTCTCCTGTGAATCCACGCGCAGCCAACCTTTAATCCATCCCAGCATGACATCCTCTTCTCAAACCTGCCCATGACTTCTGATCTTCATCTACAGTACAAACCCCAGTCTGACTTTGGTCTCTAAGACCTGACATGACCAGCTATGGGCAGCTTTCCTGATTCATGTGCTGCTATTTCCTCACTAGTACACACCAGCCTTCTTGACCACGTTGCTTTTCTTCAGGCAGGTCAAGAATTCCCCTCCTTGGGGTTTTGCACACACGGCTCCATCTGCTTGGATCATTCCTCCCCCAGGAAGCCTCCTCATGGCTGACATATCATGTCAATGGTACCTTTTTCTAATGATACCAATCAGTAAGGTCTTCCTATCTAAAACAGTCCCCCCAACTCTCTCTCCACTCCAGTCCAGACTGTGACTTCCACATGAATAGAAAGTTTGCCTTGTTCCTTGGGATAGCTCCAGAGCTTGGTAAACTGCAAATAGGCAGCAAACATCCATTAAATAAAGAGAATGAGAAGAGAAGGAGGTAGGGAGGAGGAAGTGTTCCCAGCTTCCCTAGTGCTTTGAGGCAGGGAGGATGGGTTGCCAAGGAGGTTGCTTTAGCTAATGAATGGGACCCGCCACCGGCTTCACTGCCTCTTTACATGGTCATTCCAAAGGCTTTTTTTAAAATTTATTTATTTATTATGTGTACAACATTCCTTCCATGTGTGCCCGCAAGCCAGAAGGGGGCGCCAGGTCTCATTATAAATGGCTGTGAGCCACCATATGGTTGCTGGGAATTGAACTCAGGATCTCTGGAAGAGCAGTCAGTGCTCTTAACCGCTGAGCCATCTCTCCAGCCCCCTCCAAAGGCTTTATAATGAGTCTTCCTGCCCAATCTTTCCTATCTGTCATCTACAACACCTTGAGAATGGTCCTGAAGTACAGGCTAGATGTCATCGCTCCTTGGAAGAGTTTTCGGGAGCTTCTCATAGAAGCTGAACCTGTAGAATCAGGTTAATCTCCTGAGCCTGGAAGTGAAGGCCATCCAGGATTTCAATCCATCCATCTTCTGGTCTCATATTTTACTATATCCGAGCCACTGTGAAGGCCGAGCTCCAGGGAAATACCGTGTGCAGAAGCCCCGCTCACCTCACTTCTCTCCCCACCTTAGATGATCCCTTCACCCATCCCACCTGCGCCAACCCCTCCACCCTCGGAGAGTCAGGGGAACGGCCTGAGCCAATGCCTGGATGGCAGCGAGGGTCTTTGCTGACTCTGCTCTCTGCCACTGTGCTTTCCCCAGACCCCACCGTGGGTACCTCGAATTGTCAGTCTCCATGTCTTTCCCAACACAGGATTCTCGGGGACAGAACCAACCTGACACAGATTTACCATCCCTCAATGCCAGCCACCAAGCTCTACTTATTTTTCCTCTCTCTTTCTTCTTTTTCCGTGTTCATTAATGTTAGCCACCGTCCTCAATTGTTTCAAGAACTTTGCCCATAGTAAAAACTCAGCAGGCGATTCTGACCAAAAGCAGTTGTTTTATGAGACACTTCTGGCAAAACACAACTATCACAAATCTAAGGCACTGATTTTAGAAGTGTGACATCAGAGCCAAATCTGTCATCGTAAATAGAAGGGCTACCTCTCCAGTGTCATGGCTGATAGACCGAGAGTTCTCATAAGGTGGCGTGTGTGGAGCAGGCATTATGAGCCTTCTCTTCTCTCTTACTCTCCTTCTCAGTATTCCAGGTGAGCGTGGGGAGGCTTTAGAGAGCAGAGGAACTCCCGGGAGGGCCACAGCGCTCACCACCAGTTATTCCTCTTGTTGCCTAGAGGGCGAACCTGGCCCGTGCCTACCTCTTTCTGGTTTCCGTGGACTTAGCCGTCTTGATGGTGCTCCCCTCCTGGGCCGTTTCTCTCTCCTGAGGAGTATCTCTGACAGGTATGGGGAGGACCACCGTTTCCTGCGTCACAGGGATGACCTCCTCGTCTGCCCCTTGCTGGCCCAGATGCTGCTTGGCGTAGTCAAAGCCTTGCACGGGCTGTGAGAAGGAAGGAAGATTGAAGTCACACTTCTAGAGAGGGCTCTCCAATGACAACTTTGCGAAGAGACAGACAGCCAAATACTCGGCACCATCTACTGTGCTTGGCCTGGTTCCTGCCCTGACAACATGGGCTCATCTGGGAGGGATGAGATGTCATCTCCAGTAGCTGAGCCTTCCCAGGACCCAGAGATGGGACAAGATGGCTCGGTTCCTGGGTTCTCCCTCTGCTTACTGCTCATGCATCACCCTTTTTATCCACTGGATACTTCTGAAGTCTGGGTCACTTATGAGTATGTGAAAACAGAGACATTAAGAAAGGACAGCTTCCAAGGTAGACAAGGTAAGTTAATTATTTTTTAAAAAATTATACAAATGTTTGGTACAGCACACAAAACATTGATTTCTGTTTTGGAAAGATGAAAGCAAGGTAAACCTTAGTCTTCATGTTATAGGAAAAAAACCCAAAAGCTCAGAGAGGGTGAGTGAGTGCCCAAGAGAACACAGCTAAGTGATAAAAACTGAAGCCTAGCTCCTTGCTTTTCTGGTTCTCAGGGCAATGGGCCCAACCTTTTGAAAATTGCCTGACATCAATCACTTGCTTATCTGACACACACTGGTAACGTCCATCCTCAGTAATGCAATGTCGCTCTAGTGAGCTCCACACATTTACCAAACCAAAATAATAACTTCTACACTGGGGACACACAGTTCAGTGGCAGAGCACCTGCTTCCCATGCACAAGGCACTGGTTCAATCCTCACCACCACCACCACTAGTAATAGTAAGCCCCAATAATTTTTAAAGGCAGACAGTTATATTACTTTTTAAGACAAAAGTACACGAAACAATAAAAGCCAATTTGTGTATGACATTTATTCTAGACCAGGCAGAGCTTAAAGGACTATGTGTGCCTCAATCCACTTGATCTTTACACCTGCCTACCATAAACAGTGCTGCTATCCCCATTGGACAGATGGGAAAGTTGAGGAACAAAGAGAACCTATAACTGTGCCGAGGTCATGTAGGTTATGTATGAGAATCAGGAAAACAGTGGCTGTTCTTAGGGGATGAATGACCTGTCCCAAGCAGTTTCTGTCAGCCAGGCCCCGCAGGACCGACCCTGCATCTGGATGGGCTCTAGCAACTTTGTAAAGATGCCAGTTCCCACCATGTTCTCTTTCTATGACAGGAGAGCTGGGAAGAAAGGCTGCAGATTCACTGACGAAGAACAAAGAGGGGTGACCGAGGAAGACAGGAGGTCAGGAAAGCCACGATACTATGGTCCCAGCATTCTCCCTGCACAAACCTAGCTGACAACAATAGCAACAGGGTGTGTCTGTGTACCTTGTCTCTGAAGAGGGTGTATGATCCTCTCCGGCCTCACTCGCCTCCTCTGCTTAGCATGCTAAGTATATTACAGGTGCCCAGGATCTCCCCGGCTCTGCAGCCTGCATTCTAAGGATATAGTAATGTCCCTGGGGCCATCTGCCTTGGCTACTGATTGGTGCCCAGGGCTCACTCTCTTATTGTGCCTTGCCCCTTGGCATTCATTGAATTCTGCTCACACTTTCTATGCAGCGGCTCCTCAGTCACTGCAGTGTCCCTGACTCTTCTCCACCAGGACTGCGGCGCTAGGCAGTTCCACTCTGCTGCCTTCCTGCAACAAAGGGGCTTTGGGAATTGAAGTGTCTCTGCCACCTTCACGGTGGGAGAGGCAAGCAGCTGAGCCCCACCAGAGCACACAGCAAGCAGCTCATGGGACGTAGGTCGGCTTGGTTCTCAGCACCAGGTAAGCATTCTAAGAAGCACGGTGCCTGGCATAGGCACACGGAAGGAGCTCTGCAGAGGCGCCAACATCTCATCTGTTCTGGTTCCAGAGCTGTCAAGCCAGGGAGGACGCTGCTCATCTCGGCAGATGAATGAAGATTTTGGTTTAACGCAAAGTTTCCCTTTCCAGCTCCAGTATGGCGCGTTTTGCATTCCTGGACTCAGCTGTGATGCTGATAATTACTTGCTACGTCTAAAAAGACTCATGTTGTAGGCAAGCTCAGATGGAAATGAAACATTCTGTCTTGGAGCAGTCTCGTTTATCACGGCTCGACAGTTCCCTCTGTACCCTTCTCCCCAGCACCCCACTGTGTCTGGGAAGCAGGTGTCTTATGTCAACAGACACAGAACAACATTCCCTGGAAGGCGGTGCCTCGGGAGACAGGACTGTCTAATGAGGTTCCGGCTTCCCCACAGATGTAGCGCTTGCTATGGAATGAAAGTACCTTTGATTTCTTGTACTCAAGTGAGCTGTGCTCACGCAAACAGACCAGAGCCCAGCATGGCCCTCCAAGGGGCAAGTCCCATGGCTGACACAAATTGCAATGTGTAGGAAGTCAGAGGGAGTGGTGTGCTGTCCTATGTCTATGTAGCCAGATGGAGTTTCCAGGTTCAGAGCTAGGAGCGGAAATCCTGCCAAGTCCCAGAGTGTGGGTGGGCAGAGAATGGAGGATGAGCTCCCAGAGGGCTGGGGAGCAGGCTCGGTTGTGGAAGGGCCTGCTGCTTGGATCTCCAGAGCCCACACAAAAGCGGGGTGTGGTGACACATACGTGTGACCCTGGAGCTGGCGGGGGATGGACCGCAGAGCCAGGCAGGTCCTGAAGCTCCCCGGCGAGCCGCGTGGGCCCACTCAGTGAACTTCCGGTTCAGAGAGAAACGGAAGAAACAAAGATGGCAAGTGAGAGAGAAGACACCTCCTCACCTGATAGAAACTTCTGGTCCCTGTATGCACATACTGAACGTGCACCCACACTAACAAGTGCATACAACACACACATGGATGCGCACACACATGCACACGGATGCAGGCCTTAGGCATCCCTCTGTTATTTGTGCTATGACTGGACAAGCCTCTGTGTCTCTCCAGATTTCTTGGCAGTTAAGTGAGAATAATGAAACCTGCCCTGACTGTGACCTAACTCCCAGGACAGCCGTGAGGAACAGATGAGGTGACGGACCTAGAAGAGCCCGCAGATTGTAAGGCGTTATTTAAACAGCGGGTATTACAGAGTGGACGTTTACCACAGGGACTATTCAAAAGCAGCTATGTGACTGGAAAATTAGGTTCAGGATGTTTTCCGCCTTCAATCCACCACCCTCCCTGTCACCAGAGGTGCTTGGGGAAGAGACATACAGGGGACAGAGGAAGAACAGGGCTCTAAGCCAGGCTTTCTTTGAGCTGCTGAATTGGTATTCGGTAGCTGTCAGCCTATCTCATAGCCTGTCCGTCATGACAATGGCAAAGGCAGAGTCATTAGTGGGGCAGGGAAATTTCTAGGAGTCTGTGCGCCCAAAGAGGTTTTGTGTAGGAGCCAAGAGACCTTGTCTTGGTCACCTGGGCCAATACAACAAAACACCATTAATTAAGAGGCGTATAAAAGGCAGATATAGTTCTAAGGCTGGAAGGCTGAGGTTATAGTGCCAGGACAGCTGGGATTTTGTGAGCACTCACTGCTGGGCTGGACACTGCCCCCTTCTTGTGTGTTCATGTGGTAGAAGAGGCCAAGGTCTCCTGGGCTAATTTCAGAAGGGTGCTAATCTCATTCCTGGGAGCCTCAACTCCACGGCCCAGTTATCCTCCCAAACCAACCTTATAATAGCTTCACTTGGAGGCTAGGATGTTCAGACAGTTGCAGGCGTTGTCTGACCATCACTTCCGCTGCTATCTAGCCATGGAACCAGGACAGAGTTGAAGGAGCTACTTTTCGCTGGTACAGGGAGGTGGGGTCCAATTACTAAAGATATCTAATGTCTTTTCACATCTTTCTTGCTAACAGTTGTCGGTGCCTCAGTTTCTCTGTCTGTAAAATAACAGTCCTTCCTTGAGAGGATCTAGTAATGGTGAGAGACTCTCTGTGTGTCATCTACTTGAAAGTGTGGGAGAGAGCAAGCCGCAGAGGAACGTGTGTTACATGCCGATCACTCCTTTGGAATGAGGGGTTGTGACATATTTCTGAAGGTACTCGATAACCCTACAAGCCCAGGAGAAAGGCTGGTGGAGACTCTGGTTAAGCTCCTGCCCTCCCCATGTCCACATTACCTTTGCTCTCTGAGGCAGGTTTATCATGGTGTCTGGCTTGAAGTCATTCTTGTTCTTCCTACAGAGCACAGCGGTGATGATAATGATGATAACAGTGACCACGGCGATGGGGGCCAGCACTGCCGCGATGATCCACAGGTTGTTGGGTGGATTCTTCACCACGGCTGTGGGAAAGAGCCAGTGAGAAGTACATGACAAAGAGCCCGAGGTAGGGGAAGGCCACCCAAATGTAACCCCCAACCCCAAGTCAGATGACCGGGAGAGGTGGAACTCAGTAGCTTCTGCCTCTGCCACTGTGTGACCTTGGGCAAGTAGCTCAAGCTCTCTGAGTCTCCATCTCCTTGTCTGTCAAATGAGAGCACCTCTTTGTGTTGCTTTAGTATAGCTCCTAGCACATGCTCAGGTGACATTAGATTCCACTGTTCCCAAGAGCAGAAAGAGAAAGGCCAATTAATGTCCCTGCTCACCTTGCTGGAGATAGTCAAAAGAGAAAAGGAGAAAAATACATGAGGATTAAAAATGCGTGTTGGAGGGGCTGGAGAGATGGCTCAGTGGGTAAGAGCTTTTTCCTGCAAGCATGAGGACCTGAGTTCAAGTCCCCAGCACCCACCTAGACATCTAGGCAAGGTTATGTGTGCCTGCACTGAGCAGAGGAGGTCAGAAACAAGCAAATCTCCAGAGTCTACTGGCTAGTCAGACTAGCTGAAATGGCAAGTTTCCAGTAACACACAAGCACAAATAAAGACATGTGTGTTGGAGTCAGGAGGCAGAAGCCACCAAGAGATGACTCCAGGCCGTGAAATCACCCTGTGAGTGAGCAGGGAATGAAGTGTAACCTGAGCAGATGGATCTCCATCAGAATATGTCTGGGAAGTTTAGAAATGCCAGGACTAACCACAGGACCAGGCTGGTCTCAGTAGGGCGGTAGGTTACCAGAACAGCAGGTGCCCTCGGGGGTGGGGCAGGAATGCAACCCTGAAGGGATGACGGGGAGCTGGTCACGCTCTATACCGTGATAATGACTGGGCTCTTACAGCTGTGCGCATCTGTCAGACTCATCAGATCTGTACATCTTCACCGTGTGTACGCTTTATTGCAGCATCACAAGCAGATAGGACATTCTGGTTAGTTATATGCACACTGATGTGTTTAGGGGTTACCTCTGCAAATGCTTGTGACTCACTTTGAAATACAGGGGGCAGAGGCGAGATAAGACAATACATGATAAATAAAAACAACAGTAAAGCACTAAGTGTGGGTTCTGGAGGGGTTGGAACATGGTTATTTACGGCATAAACCTTTCAACATTTTGTTAAGTCGGGTTAGGAAAATGCGGGAAAGAGGAAATGCCCTTGATGTGAGGTGAGTGGACCTCTCCCAGAATTACACACAGGATTTTTTAGGGAACACCAGTCAAATCAAAAGGGGCGATTTCAGAAGTGGAGCAAAACAAGAGTCCAAGCAGATGCCTGTGGGAGGAGTCTCAGGAAGGAGGGGAAGTCTGCAGCAATCTAGAGAGGAACTGAAGACCAAAGGGGGCTTGCCTGCCGTGGGGTGCGTGCCCTGAATGCCAGGCTTTTGGGCTCAGCTAACTATTGTCACTGAGGCCGGAGGACAGAGGACGGCTTCTAATAACTAGTTGGTTCTCTGCCTCCACCAGGTGGGACCTGGGAACTCAGATCAGGCTTGGCAGCTAGTTCCATTATGCACTAAGTCATCTCACCGGCCCCAGAACACAGCTCCTGATTCTCTCCCTCCCTGCTGTGTTCATCTCTATTCCTGCTCTACAGCGAGGCGGACCATCACCTCACCGTAGCGGGCACCGCTGGCTTTCTTCTGCCTATCCAGCATCCCACACACGAATCCTGTCACTGTCACCAGGCTCTCCCAGACTCTGCCTTCCCTAAAGTTCCTGGGTGATGTCTGTACCAGGCCTCTGGTCACAGCAGCAAGGCTCCAAAACACAAGTCAGCATAGGCATTTGCTCATCTTGTTACCCCCCCCCCCCACTGTGCGTGTGTGCGTGTGTGTGTGCGTGTGTGTGTGTGCATGTGTGTGTGTGCATGTGTGCACACACATATGAATCACAGGGGCATCCTCAGGACCCATGACAGGGCCTACCACATGAGTGCTTAACCAGAAGCTCAAGGCTTGAGAGCATAAACTGCTATTATACCGTTGCAATGAGACAAAACTAGAAGGAAAATCTCATCTCCATGGTGATTCTAGTCCATATTTTAAATCCATTTTGCTTATAGTCTACCTTATATTTTGGTCTTTTATATATTTGGTTATCATGAATCTTCCTAATGCTGCTGAACTCTAGAGGTTGCGTGGGACTCTCGAAGCTGAGGACTTTAGACCCTGCAACACAAAAGCCCCACTGGTAAATGCCACATGGGGACAATCTGTCCGAGGAGCCAGCTGGTCCCCCTCTGGTTTCAACCACCTTGACTTCAGCTGGTCCCTTGTTAGCCAAGTTCTGCCTGTGATCTGGCTGCCCTTGGGCTCCGGATGCTATTAGTATAGAAGGGTTTCTCTTTCCACGGTCTGTATCAATCAGTGATTAATCACATTATTAACTTCTGAAAACAGCTCATTAGATAATGTGTCTCTGTTGACATTGCATTTAATTGCCACTGCTCTTAGTAGCTTGTATTTATATGTGAGTTCTGTGGCATTAACATTTTCTAAAGCTCAGAGCTTCTGCGGAAAATCTCACTAATACCTTTTTCAGGGTGGGCTATTTTATCCTGATGCAGACCAGGAAGCCCTACTTATCACCTGATGGACATACACGTGTGGTGTATGAGAACCTATTCTAAATGCACACATATGTATCAACATATACATACACAGCAAATGCATACATGTGTATATAACTAGTGAGCATGGAATGGTTATGTACCCTGATTGCATTTAGTTTTATTGTTTGGGTGGATAACTTACTTTTTGGTGCAGAATGTAAAATTCCTTCACCTCTATTTAAATGGAGGAGAGAACACATTTATGCATATTAATATATTCCTTTAGCGGTCAAAATGATATTAAAGCTAGGTCAATTGGAGCCCTGAAGTCCAATGTATTCATTGGCATGAGCTCTAAAAGTATGAGGCTATGGACAGGGTGAAAAGGCCCGAGTGGTCATTTAAATTGCAGGAGGTTCAGTAGAGGACAGAGAGGAAGGAAATGATAAACTCTGAGTGTCTCCTTGGCACCAGACACGATGGCAAGCTTGGGCCTGCATCCTGTTCTCGTCCTGGTCCACAGGTGAGGAAACTGAGAGCCAAGGTGACAGGAAGGTCATCTCCCTAAAACCACCCCTAGACGGACCTGTCCTGTGAAGGAGTGGAAGTGTGAGCCTCCATCTGTGTGTGTGCTGGAGTGCACACACACATGAGCATTTGCCAGGAGGCTCCAAACAGTGTAAACAGGCGAGTGAGTCTCACCTGGTCAGATGCTAAACCGAGAAGGATTCAACTATGCTTCAGGCTTCTTTTCTTAAATGTTGGCGTCTACTGCTGGATGAGCAGATGCAGGGGCAGCACCATCCAGGGCTCCACTGAGTAGTGAGGGTTCAGTCTAGGCTGCTTTCCTGCCCAAACCCTCCCGTGGCTTTTCCTCCACGCAGGGCCAGCCTGTGGAATCTAGTGGGGCCCCTCTCCTGTGCCTTAGACCCCACCACTTCCATTCTTCCTTCTTGTGAACCTCCCCACTCAGCCTCACCCCCTGCTCTGTCTGGACCGGGTCCTAGATGGCTTCAGGAATCTTCATGCTCCCTCGCACCTCCACTTTAGCTGGCTAGTCACTGATCCTCTCACGTCCCCAAGCAACTTCATTACAACTTCATCTCCTCCGTCTCCACAGCTCTTCCTGCCTACGTTTTCTCTGTGGCATTTACCACCAGCTAGCGTGTATTTATTTGGCTTATTTAGCCTGTTCACTCAGGACAAGGATGGTGGGGAGTGAGCACACTCTCAAGGCTGAATCATTAGACAGGAAGGGGAATGAAGACTGTAGGACATGAAGAATAGCCTGGCGTACGGGTTAGCATTTGGACAAACTTAATACAAACTATGGTCATCTGGGAATAAGGAAGCCCATCAGCTTGGCCTGTAGGAATATTTATGGGGCATTTTCCTGACCCATGATTACTGTGGGAGGGGCCTAGTCAAATGTGGGTGGTGCCACCTCTGGGCAGGTGATCCTGGGTGGTTTAAGCAAGAAAACTAAGCAAGGCTTGGGGGCGGGGCAAGCCAGTGTCCATGATCTCTTCAGCTCCGGCCCTAACTCCCCTCAATAAAGGACTATGACACAGAAGTGTAAATAAACCATTTCGTCCCCAAGTTACTTTTGGCTATAGCGTTTTATCACAACAACAGAAAGCAAATGAGGATACCTGGAGACAGATTATAAAGGCCCCTGAGTGGGGGCTCAGCCCGAGCTACTGTGAAGACCCATTTCCAGGAATGTGCACTTTATTCTAGAAATGATGTGGAGATAACAGCTGTTTTTTTAGGGAGCGGATGTAAGAGCAGAACTCAGATTTGATTACAGCAATTCTAATGGCAGCATGGAAGATACATGACTGTGCACATCCCTGCAAGCTTGGGGATGCTACTGCTGTGGCTGAAGATGAGGAGGGCAGAGACCTGAAGAATGGCGCTGCTGTGTGGGTTAGTGGAGAGGCAGAAACAAGGAAGCGAAGGTGAGAGGTTGATGTAGGAGGGTCTTCTATCTATCTGTTGCTTTCATTGGTTAATTAATAAAGAAAACTGCTTGGCCTGATAGGTCAGAACATAGGTAGGTGGGGAAGAGAGAACAGAATTGTGGGAGGAAGAAGGCAGTGAGGCAGACGCCATAGCTCTCCTCTCTGAGGTGGACGCAGGTTAGAATCTTCCCGGTAAGCCACCACCTCGTGGTGCTACACACATTAATAGAAATGGGTTAATCAAGATGTGAGAGTTAGCCAGTAATAGGCTAGAGCTAATGGGCCAACCAGTGTTTAAATTAATACAATTTGTGTGTTGTTATTTCCGGGGCTAAGCTAGCTGTGTGGGAGCTGGGCGGGACAAAAAGCAGGCCTGCTGGCCTCATCACTACAAGAGGTCACAGTGGACCTCTTTGGGAGTGGGCAGGAGAGTTGCAGTCTTGGTCCATCCTTAGTCCTTCCTAGCACCTAGAGTGGTTTCCAAAATGCTCCACGCATCTAATCTGATATGAGCTCCTCTCTTTTCCCCTTCTCTTAGTACCTTCCCTGTCCCTGCCACCCATCATCAGCCAAGTCCTCTTGGCCTCAGTCCCCTCCCCTGTGTGTGTTCACCCTTCTCATCCTTTCCCATGTACCACAGGTCTGGAGCAGAGAGGAGTCTCAGAACAAAGAGACCAAAAGGAGCATAGAGCAGGGACCAGAGATAAGACGGAGAGGAAGGGGGGCCAGTGAGACAGGTTGCTAAGAATGTCCAGTGAGTGGTGTCCTGGGGAATCCAGAGAGGGTGGCAGGATGGTCGAGGATATGCATGTACAGTGTAGACTTCATGAGTGTTCATGCTCATGTTTGCACGGAGGCCAGAGGAGGATGTTAGGTATCCACAGCTACTCTTCGCCTTGCTGCCTTGAGATAGGGTCTCTTACCAAACCTAGAGCTATGCTTGGGTCAGCAAGCCCCCCAATCCTGTTTCTACCCGCAACAAAGCTGGGGTTATTGGTGCACATAGTCACACACAGCTTTTTATGTGAATGTTGGGGATTTGAACTCGGATCCCCATTTTCTTACCCACTGAGCCATCTCCCCTGCGCTGGACCTGGGATTAAAGAGGAGAAGGAATTATCTGGACACAGCAGGGCAAACGAGGATGAGGTCGCCTTGGTAACCCGCTACGCTGTCCTAACCAGTTGGCTCTGCTTAAATCCATCTCCAGCCTGAGGCCCAGCCATCAGTTCCACTTCGCGATGGCTCCCAGAGAACAGAACCAATCAGAATGCATCCTTAGGCTTCCATTACCAAATGCACCGTGGTACTGTTGTTTTCTTTCTCCTTATACCAGGACGGTCCCTGGAGGAGCTCTCCACATGTGCGCTAGGCCCAATCTCTTTGCTCACTTGAGGATTCTGACTTACACATCTCACTTGTTTCTTCTCTGTCACTCCCTCTTTAAGACCATCCCCTCAGATAACCAAACTCACCCCAAACGACTGTTCGACTCATCTTCCCTTTTTGTCACTATTGTCCCATCATGGTCCCCTTCTTACCAACCTTTGCAGAGCCAAAAAAAATCTCCAACTGACCAAACTCTGTCAACTTTTACCTGATTGTACTGCCTCTAGAGGATCTAAATAAGCCTAGAAGTCCATCCCTTTTCATGAGAGTTGTGCATGAGCTTCCTTTCTGGAGCTAAAGCTCCAGGCAGTTGTGAGTTCCTCAATGTGGTTTCTGGGAACGGAACTTGCATCCTCTGCCAGAGCAGTAGGTGCTCTTAACCTCTGAGTCATCTCTCCAGTCTCTCCACTTCTTCCTAAGCCCCACTGTACCCTGCATCTCCTTCCAGCCCCTTGCCACTCCTCAGGACCCTGTTGGCTCTTGCTCTTCCACACATGGACTTCACGGGAAGTTCCATGGTTTTCACTCTTGCTCAGTTGCTCTCCTGCTCTGTTTGTTGATGTTCCCAACCTTCTTTCTCTTGACTTCCATGTGGTCCTCTAGCAGACATTCAAACTTAATGTACCACTTCCATCCTTGATTTCCACCCCAGACATTAAATCCACACCGTTTGCCTCTCAACAAACACAGGGCTCAAGTCAACACCCAGACGTCTCCCCTAACTCCTCTGATCCCCCACCTCTTTTCCTGCCAGAAGAACATATTGTTTGAACCCAGCAGCTCTGTTGCTCAGAACATTCTGAATGCATCCTGTTCTCCATGCCTAGAATCGCCACCTCTCTCCTTTCCTCAGGATTTGTTCTGGGGTCGGGCAGACAGACGTAAACACGGAGGACAGAACTTTGGGGGAACTTACATAGAAAAGACAACAAAACACAGGAAGTGGGAACCAGAAACTGACAAGAACAGAGGCCCTGAAGAGGGAACAGGAAACAAGAAACGGAAGAGACTCACAGTTGAAAATATCATTTCAAAAACAAGACTGCGGAGGATGGCTGTCATCATCCCTCAGCACAGGTGTGTCTGGGAGGATGTGCCAGCGAAGCATGGTGTGTCTGTCACACAGTCATCCCCAGGGAAAGCAAGAGAAGAGGAGGAGGAGGAGAGGAGGAGGAGGAGGAGAGGAGAGTCAGGAGCCAGATGTGAACCAACCTGATGCTCTTTGAGGAGGGCGGACACCATCCAGAAAACCATAGGAACTGACCTTCCTTACCCTTCCATCAAACCCTCCACCTGTTCTTTGTTGTTTTTGTTTTTGCCCCAAGCCACTTAAACTACTTGTGTTTCTAGGCACACCTGGTACGTCTCCCCTGCATTTTTACTCATGGTGTTTTTCTGGCACACACCCCCTTCCCTTCTTTATAATGAGCTCTAGAAATACGACATGGCTAAGAACACAAGTCTGAAGCTGGAAGTATCCGGATTGGTGTCTCGGCTAAGTGCTGGTTTGTGATGGGTAATCCGGTTATTCTACTTTTTTTTTTTTTTTGAGCCTGTTTGACCTCCTATAGTTTGGAGCTGGGTAAACAGAGCCCTATTAGAACAGAAGGCCAATAGCTGGAGCACAGTAAATGCCACACGAGCGGCCACAGAGCGTATTGGTTTTAATACCCTTCTTCTGTTTCAGGAGGATCCTTTAAGAAAAACCCCCCTAGGCAGGTACCAGTGTTCTACTGCCAGCCCCATGCATCGACAACTCTGTCCCTCAGAGCCAGAAACCAGGTGTCACCCACTTCTAGTGACCTCCAGTGCTAAGCATAGTTCACAAGGAACTGAATGTTCACTGCATCAAATTATTTTCAATTCCCTCAGCACATACATATGATCCCAGCTGCAGTTATTTTCTGTAGCTAGATTATACTGGATCTGAGGAGAAAGAGGAGTTAGCACCTGGGATAAAGGGACATTATCATCTACTATCATTTAGATATTGCAAACCACCACCCTCACCTAATGCTTATTGCTTTAACAGAAAAGAGCTGACTGATCTTCAAACCACCCAGAAGCAAGTTTTGTTCAGCTGTAAGACACCCTTATGGCTTGGAGGAGCACCGGGGTGCACGAAAATAATCAATGCCGTTAAAGCACTGACTGAGCAGACTCCTTACGGTCAGCCTGTAGAAGGACAACGTGGTGCAGGGTCAAGGCCATCCTCTGGGAGTCGATGGTGCTCAGGATCTTGGCTGCTGCAGTCCCCAGCAGTGGCTTCCCATTGTACAGTGTGTAGTACGTCAGCTCTGCTGGGTCCTTTGGTCCTGGCACTCGCTGCATCTTCACCATCTTTCAAAAAAAGAGAAGCAGGGTGTTGCTGAGGCATCTTGGACAGGCCCTGCAGGCCTCTGAGCCATCAGAAGACTCGCCTCACCAAGTCATTGAGGCCTACTGGGCCCTAGAGGACCCACAGGGACAGGCTAGATGTCAGCCCTATGGTCTTCCATAGAGCCAGGGTCTCAGGAAGCTGGTTATCTCTGGAAGGAGAGGCTGAGAGGAGAAAGTGGGGCTTGACACACAGCAGCATCTGGAAGGCAGCCGGAAGCTGGGAATGAACAGGGAAGAGCGAGTTTCCCAACCTCCACTGAGCTTTGGCCTCGTTTGAAAATAGGCCTCCGTGCTAACTCAGGGCATGCTAGGTGTCCCAAACAAGGTGCTTAATTTCAAAACTCTTCAATTGCCTGAAAGGGGGAAATGACCTATCTGTCTATAATGAGGAGACCTCTGATAAAAGTGGAACTCGTTAACTCAAACTCCTTTCTCTAAATCAGCTACATAGAGGCTTGCTTCTTTGTGTTATTTTTTTAAATCAATTAATTAAATTAAAAAAACCAATCTTTTCTCATTTGACATACTAATTTCAGTTCCCACTCTCTGCTCCTCTTCCTCCACCTTCTCTCCACCCCATCCCCCACCCACTCCTCAGAGAGGGCTAAGGCTTCCCCTGGGGAGTCAACAAAGTCTAGCACATTGCTTTGAGGTAGGACCAAAGCCCTCCTCCACTATAACTAGGCTGAGCAAAGAGAATGGGCTCCAAAGAGCCAGTTCAAGCAGTAGGGATAAATCCTGATATGATTATGATAATCATAAGATATGGACATAGTGTTTTGTTGTATGTTTATAGGCATGGTAAACACTGAGCATTTACGATTTTAACCTTTGACTCTTAGAATTAGCAATTAATTGATAAACATTATATTATAGTATTTGCAGAGTATACATTACAGGCATTGAGTTTTATAGAATATAAAAAGATATTATAAAATGTTTATAGAAAGTTCATTATTGACATCAAAAAACCCTGAAAAATTCAAAAGTCAATAGTGGTAAACTGAATAAATGAGTTATGGAAAGTCATGTAATAGATTATAATAAATGAACTACTCCAGTTCATATGAATGTGGATTACAAATTATAGAATACAAAATTTAAAACAGGAAAAACAACATGGCATGCTTGTAAGGATCTATGCATGGGGGTGAAATCTGTATAGAAAATACAGGACTGAATTAATCCAAAATTCAGAACCACGCTCAACTTGGATAGGAAGAAAGGGAACATAATTTTAAAAATTAATGCTGTGTGTGTGTGTGTGTGTGTGTGTGTGTGCTGCTCTTGCCTGTGTGCAGGGCAAAGGTCAACTTTTGGTATCTTCCTCTACCACTTTCTACCTGTTTCTGAGAAAGTGTCTTTCACTGAACCTGAGCTCACTTAATTTGGTTTGGCTTGCTAGCTAGCAACCCCCAGGATCTTCCCGCCTCTAACCTTCCAGTTCTGGTGTTAGAGTTATATGAGCTGCCAAGACCTGCTTTGTGTGTGTGTTCTGAGGATCCAAACTCAGGCCTTCATACTGTGCAGCAAGCGCTTCTCTGGCTGAGCCATCTTCCCAGATACATCAACTACAGAAATAACTAAATTCTAGCCGTCTAAATCTCCATATTTATGAAGGGATGTCGTTTTATAAAGGTCTCAACCCAGAAGAAAGGCCTCTGGGTGAAAGACAATGGAAGTGCCATCGTGTGGGTTTGGGGGAGGCTTCGACACGTCACTCCTTTCCCTAGTGGGAGAGGAGTCGGGCAGTGCTTGAACAACCTGGCAGAAGCGAGTGATAATTCAAATATCTATTAACGTCACTCACTTCCAACTTGATAGCACCTATTACCACAATTTAGCCAAGTATGATGTCAGAAGCAATCTATAGCATCTCTATGTAGAGGTTTTCAGAAAAAAAAGAAGTGCCACCCTTTCAGTCTGCCATGCCATCTCTGCAGTCTCTTAGATGTGCAGACGTGTTAGGCTCACAAGTAGCCAGGGCTTGTAAGAAGGTCCTTTCTCTCCCATGGACTGATGCAAACCACTTCACAGTCAGTGACTTGCTTCCTGTCATTAGGAAGGCATGAACTGAAGGGCTTACATGAAACAGACCCACAGAGGGGAAACCACATTCCTGCTTGTGAAACGAACCATCCTTTTACTTAAGGGATGGGCTGGCATGGAGCAAACTTGCAGAACCAAATTGGCATCCAAAAGGTCAATGAGCACAATGCACCACTGTGTAAGGAGACACGGAGTGTCTCTGATGCAACTCCTGCAGGAAGAGAAGGTGGGCGACTTTCAAGAAGTCATGGGAATGTGACCGGCAGACACATTGTGCTGATGTCTGCTTTTCCACACAGACAGCACAGCACTGTGCATCTATGCAGACGTGGTCGGTCAGCTGTCAATCAGGAGTGCGTAGGCCAGCGGAAGGCCACGCTACTAGGAGGGTATCTGTGATGGGAGCTTTGTCGATGATCATGTTAGAGACGGATGCTCAGGGGTGAAGGATGAAGTTAATCATATTTAAGCTGCATGGATTGGGTCAAATATGCTAAGGACATTTCCACTCTAGGGGGAACTGGATAAAGTGTGGAGGGAGGTGTAGGTAGTCCCCACAGGGACAGCTGCAGTCCTGACTATGCAAGTCCCTTTAAACTAACCCAGAGAAGTTTGTGCTGGTGGTTTCTGTGAGAGGTACGAGGAACTGACAGGGTGAGAAGTGACTTGGGAACTTTTGCTTCATGAATATCCACATATCTAGAGACTCACTTCCTGGTAATCTAGTTACTGATGACGAAAATAGACTGACCCGCAGCCTTGAAAGCTTCAGAGGGGTGTGGATCAAGAGGCTTAAGTCAGTTGGCAGCACGGATGTGCGTCTGGGCACAGGTAGTTGTTTAGTCCCAGGAAACACATCCCTCCCACGGTCATTAGAAAACCCCAGTGCACACACCTACCTGCACAGTATAGCTTCCCAAGGTGGTGGCCCGTTTAAACCGCCGGCTCTGTTGCTGAGACATCATGAAGAGCTGGGCTAGACGTTGCTCCATGACCCGGGCAAAGCTCTGGTTGTGCAAGCCTACCAGCGAGTTGTCCACGCCCTGGAGCACTAGGGATGCAGAAGGCAGAAGGGATGCTCAGAGCCCAGACTCCCTGTTGACTCAGTAACTACACCACCACCTGCCCTGCATGATATGAACCACCCTGACCTATTTACAGTGGGGCTTAGCCAACCTTACCTACTTCTCCTCCAAGGCAGTTCATAAGTTAAGAATCCTTGCCAATGTGTTACACATGTTGGAAGGGTTAGTGGCCTGCCTAAGATTGCCCAGTGAGCAAGTAGCAGAGTCAGGGTAAGAACCCAAGCTTCTATAACTCCAAAGCTGTGTGTTTCTTCTATAAGCTGTGCCATTTCAAACATTTCGTTATCAAACCCAAACTCTTAAAGATGACACACCCCACAAAGAGTCCACAGGGAATACAGCTGATCTGTGGGTGCAGCTAATTGGGGGCTGGGCTGGTTCTCACTTGCAAACCCAGACTCAGGGTTTATTTCTCTTTCTCAACAGCGTGGCCAAGGATTCACAGAGCCATCCTGGAACTGGAGTGCATACATTTGGACAAACTATGTCGGTCAGTATCCTTATCTCTCCCTGCTAAACAGGATGCTTCCTACCCCTAAAGCTGCCCAGGGCCCATCACGTCTTCTCCCATTCAAGAGTAAGACAAGTTAGTGGAAGGAGTGTGTTTTCTCTCATTTCTGGCTCCTCTCAATTACGGGTCCTTCAGCAAGCCACTGGAGTCCTTGGCTCCAAAAGGGAAGGGCACCTCCGAGCAAGAACATGTCAAGCAGGCCCTAAGGTCAAAGGGGACAGGATGCATGAGGCAGTTTGGCCCTGTCTATGGAAGGTACATGGGATTCTTTCCTGGCCCTAACCTCTGCATGGTTAGATCTCAGCAGCCGTTTCTGGGGACAAGAGGGGAGACGGTGACAGTCAAGTTACAAGTCACCACTAGGGCACGGATGAGAGTTGTAAGAGCACTAGGGCCTCTCTAGGGCTTTCTATGGGGACAACTGCCTGTTTTCATTCATGTCCAGAGTCCAACTCTTGCTCTACATCCCATGGGAAGCAACTTCACCCCAAGCATGCAAACAGTGGCTTCAGACACAGTCACAACCAAAATTTTAGTGTTCAAATTTATTATTGGGCTTTTAAAGCGATTGAAGATCATCAGGGCTGGGAATGGTTCCTAACACAGTCCAGCTCAGTATCATGAATACGACCCATCCACCGAAGTGCAGAAACAGACCCTCCCAAAGAGCATGGTGTCTCTGTAGCCGCTGATCAAGCAGGGGGCGGTGCACGCAGCCAGCACCAATGATGGAATCCACACGGGGCCAGACCACGCTGTCAGAAGTGAGGCTCAGAGAATGACACTGATACGCGGATCAAGAAGGAAATCAAACCCACAGCTGGGTCTCTAAAATGACTTCTTCGAAGCCATAAACGCCAAATGATCCCGCTGGAGGGTATAAAGCAAAGCCCCCGGGCCCTGGGGAGGGACTCTCGATTGTTTGCCAGCCAAGTCCCTGCAAACAGAGATGAAGGCTGCTCTATTGCACTGTCAGACTCCCAGAGTCCCACGGGGTTTCCTACCTCACACGGGGGAGCCTGGTTCAAAAACACCCCGTGTACTCAATATACAGGCCAGACACTGAAATGACTTCTAAGTTGCCCACCTCTCCCCCAACTAGTGGACAAGAGGAAGAGAGGGGGCACCACAAATCGGTTTACAGGAATCTCAGTCATGAGTCAAAGGCACCAACTAAAGGCATCTGTCAGACTTCTAGGTGAGAAAAATGCTCCAGCAGTTAATGGTCGCTTGTGTTACAGACGCTCTCTGGGATACTGAATTGTAAGTTTAAGCTGCTTAAAATGGGACATTTTACTTTATATGTATTTTTTTAGTAATTTTCTCTTTAAAACAACAAAACATCTCCGGGCAAGCACTGGAGCATGTGGGGAGCACACAGAGCCATATAGCTATTAATGCCTAAACGACTGGAGTGTGTACCCCTGCAGCTCTCCAGAAAAAGAGTGGGTTCTTCTTGGTGTCAGCTGGGTGGCGCTGGGGGTCACAGAAGCAGGGGTGCGAGTCTGAGCCACTTCTCCCTTTCCTGAGACAAGGCACATAGCTCCTCAGGACCACAGTTCTCCCCTGAGCCAGCTACTGACTGAGAAGAACTAACTCAGCAAATGCTACTTACAACAGTGCCCTAGGACACCGCTGTGTGGAAGCCATTGCTGTCCTAAGCCTGCCTCCCCTCCTTTGCTATGCCCATTCTTGCCAGAGGAGAAAATGTCATGAAGGCCTGGATCTGGGCCCCTGTGTGTGGTTCCCCTCCCCTCTCCCAAAGTCCGCATGCTCTCCTTGACCCCGCCTGCCTTCTGGAAGGCAATGGAGGGGCTTGCACTCAGAGCTTGTACAGTGAGTGACTCAGTGGCCCAGCCCTCTCAGCACACCAGCCAGGGCTCTCTTTAGCCACCCACTCTCAGCCACCACAGATTCAGAGCGGAGGAGCCTTCCAAGTCCCTGCGCTGGTATGAAAAGTTCAAGACCGCGACGCCCTTCTCGCTTTACTTATAATCACTCCGGGCTCTACGATCCATCACCAGTCAAGGGTCAGCCTCCTGCACTTGAGCTAAACTATTTCATTTGTGGTTGACTCCCACACATTCAGACTCCAGGAATCTCCGTGCTCAGCTGGGTCCCTCCCTCATTCTACGGGCGAGTGTGTGAAGCCCAGAGGGCCCAGGGACTGGCTGTAGGACACATTAGTAAGAAGAGAAGAAAGTTGCTGGTCAGTGGATGGCAGCCACATTGTCTCTGGTGAGGAAACAATGGCGGATGTATAAATCAGAGACAAGCTTGCTGATTAGTCCAGGGCTCACTGGCTAGTGAGTCCCAGGGATCTGCCTGCCTCTGCCTCCCTTTGATGTGGGTCCTGGGGAGTCTACATACCTCATATCTGGGGAGACCCTCATACCTGCAGGGTAAACCCTTAACTGACTCAACTATATCTTCAAGCCCTAGCCATCAATATCCGGGTATCTCTATCTTGTTTTACTTCTAAAGAACCAATAGCAGGATCCTCAGACAGTAGGATAGCCTGTAGGTTCTCTGTAAAGAGAAATTGCAGAGATCACCCATCGCTCCTGATTTTCCATCAAAGAAGGACCCACCTTCAGCAAGAGGGGGAAAGTACAACATAGTCCATGTAAGTTCAGTTGTAAAACAGACAGGAGCAAGTAGAGCTTGCAACAGGAACTACAGAAAGGGAGAGTGGCTACAAACTGAAAAGGACAGGGCTTGCGGTGATGGTCTGGAGCCCAGGCCGAGCAAAGACCCTCATTGCTGGCTCCCGATAATCAACCCTTTCTTTTATGATAGGGCAAGCTAGCACAGGCTCCCCAGAAGTCTGTAAAGTAAGTGGTCACGGTTCATATGGAAGGCAAGAGGGCCATGCCATAGTTCCTCATAAGCACTAACTGATGGATGCCACCAGCTGAGAGACAGTGGCAGTCCTGTTTAGATCACTGCAATGCCAACAGCAGCAACGAGGGAGGAAGTTACGTAAGTGAGCAAGAAGAGTTCAGTCCCAGGGGAGCCCGGAAAAAGGACCGTGTGCACAGCTGTCCTTAAGGTAATGGCACCCAAACAAAGGCACAGGAAGGCATGGGCAGATGGGGGGGTCCCCACGGTGGCTGTCGAGGGCAGCCTGTGTTTAAGAATGGATTATGATCACTGAGTGTAAACCTTAACGTTCAGAGACGGGGGAATATCTGTGAAGAAAGAGGCACCATTGCTTGAGGAGAGGACACGTGATTTTGTAGCGTTATGTAACCCGCTGGCTCAGACATGTGTTGTTGGGTTAGCATGGCCTCTCTGGGGTTTGCATCCTGGTAGCTGTTGCTAATTTGTTAAAAATATGCTTCTTTAGTTTGCCTTCTTAGCAGTTAAAATGGCCTCTGCATACCAAAGACCCTGCAGTGGGGGCACGTGGGCGATGTGTCCTTGAGAAGAGAACCTAGGCAGGCGTCACACAGCAGGGTGGGAACTCCTTGGATGGGACTTTAGGCCACAGCCCACCTGCCATGCGCTTGGGACAGCAGCGAGGGAAGGACAGATGAAAGAAGGGAGCTTGGGGCATCTGCTCCCCTAAGCACATTTCTGAGTCTCGAAGAATCTTCCTACCTCTCATTGACGGGCTGGACTGTGTTCCCCCCAGTCAACATGTGCAAGTCCCAACCCCCAGCATGTCAGAGGGTGACAGTGTTTGGACAGAGGGTCTTTGTAGGGGTAATGAAATTAAAATGAGGTCACCAACATGGGCCATCAGCCAATGTGTCTGGTGTCCTTCTAAGAAAAGGAAATAAGGGGGCTGGAGAGATGGCTCTTCCAAAGGTCCTGAGTTCAATTCCCAGCAACCACATGGTGGCTCTCAACCATCTGTAATGGGGTCTGGTGCCCTCTTTCAGCCTGCAGGCAGAATATTGTATACATAATAAATACTTAAAAAGAAACAAAAAAAAGGGGAAAGGATATCAGGACAGACAGGCTCAGGGAAGAACAAGTGGAGAGAAGGTGACCAACTTCAAGTCAAGGGGATGGGAAGAAGATGCAAAGCTATTATTGGTGTCTCGATCTCAGACTTACAGACCCTCGAGAATGTAACTTTCAACTGTCTACGCTCTGATGGCTGGGCTGGTCCCTTTCCTCCTACCAACAGCTGTCCTCCCCATTTGCCTCAATAATGCTGCTTCTCTCATTTTAGAGGCACTGCGAGACTTTTGAAAAACACAAACAGAATGCTGTTGCTGGTTCATAGTGTTCAGCTGTGAAATGCCAAGGGATAAAGAAAATGCCACCAGGACACTCCTGCTCTTCGACTCCCACGCGACCTCATCTGCAGAGCACAAGGATTGGCATGGCTGCGTCACCCATGTGTGCCCCGAGAAGGAGCAGAGCATATATGGCCCTCCTCTGGCTTTAATTTGGGCTTTGCAGGACAGTGCAGAAAAGCCTGCTGTCTGTTCAGACAAACACTCACACAGGTGTGCCCCAAATGGCACCCATACAGACGTGCCCCAGACGACCACCCACACAGATGTGCCTCAGGCAGCCACCCACAGAGATGTGCCCCAGACAGCCACCCACATAGACATACCCCCACACAGATGTACCCCAGATGGCCACCCACACAGGCATGCCCCAGACGGCCACCCACACAGATGTACCCCCACACAGATGTACCCCAGATGGCCACCCACACAGGCATGCCCCAGACGATCACCCACACAGACGTGCCCCAGACGGCCACCCACACAGACGTGCCCCAGACGACCACCCACACAGACGTGCCCCAGACGACCACCCACACAGACGTGCCCCAGAGAGCCATCCACATAGACGTGCCCCAGAGAGCCATCCACACAGATGTGCCCCAGAGAGCCATCCACACAGACATGCCCCAGACAGCCACCCACACAGATGTACCCCAGATGGCCACCCACACAGGTGTGCCCCAGATGGCCACCCACACAGACGTACCCTCACACAGATGTATCCCAGATGGCCACCCCCACAGGCATGCCCCAGACGGCCACCCACACAGATGTGCCCCAGATGGCTACCCACACAGGCATGCCCCAGACGGCCACCCCCACAGACATGCCCCAGACGGCCACCCACACAGACGTACCCTCACACAGATGTGCCCCAGATGGCTACCCACACAGGCATGCCCCAGATGGCTACCCACACAGGCATGCCCCAGATGGCCACCCCCACAGGCATGCCCCAGGTGGCACCCACTAGTGCTGCCATGAGATAGGCTGGAGATGGGACCATTGAAGTAGCAGTTTTGAATTATTTATCAGTAATCATCTTCAGGGTGTTCTTTCCTCAGCCTCCCCACTCCCTTCCAGTCCGATAGAAGGGACTCCTTGATTTATAAGGGAGGACCAAAGATGTCTGCCCTGTCGCCAAATGGTACCCTTTTTAGACAACCCAACCCGATGGTACAGAGAGGGACATACGGAAATCAGATGTTACCTGTGATGACCCAGTAGTCTCTGGTTGTTTCTGATATATCAAGGTTGGGATATTCCAGTGCTGAAACAGATAAAACACACATGGGCTCTCTTTGATAGGCTGTATGAGTAAACATTATCAAGGGGAACATGGAAGTGACGAGCTGGAAAGTAGCTGGGTCCCACACTGAGAAATCTATTGCACATAGGTCAAACTATCTTATTGTACAGAGGTGACTCAGTAGGGGACAAGGGGCTCAGATTCAGGAGATTCTCTCTGTGAAGTTTCCCCTCTAAGCCTTCTTACATGGAACAACATGGCTATCAGCACCCACAGCTGCAGCCTGCCTTAAGCAGGGGCTTCCTCTGAATAGGTCATCTAGCACCATGGAGGTCTAAGGAGTGGAGATCTCTGGGTCTTTCCAGCATTGCGGGCTTACATGTGGTACTGAAAGTTATTGTCTGCTTTACCAGCATGCTCACTATGAGAATCCACCCATGGAGAGGACATAGTACAGTGGCTCACACACAGTCGGTGCTCAGTAAATCTTTCGTGTGTGTGTAAGTGTACACATGTATGTTTGAGCGGGAGGAGGATGGCAAGTCTTTCTAAATTGCTTCCCACCCTGCTTTCTGAGACAGGCTCTCTCACTGAACCATGAGCGTGTTGATTTGGCTAGGCTGGCTGTCCTGGGCCAACCTTCCAGCACTAGTGTTACAGTTGTGAGCACCTCACTAGGATTTTCTTCTTTCAATGTGGGTACTGAGCTAAAACTCAGATTTTCAGGCTTGCACAGCAAGCACTTCAGCAACTGAGCCATTTCCCAAGTCCCTACCACTCAGTGCAACTTAACTGATTATTATTAGAATACCAAGCTGGTTAAAGAAGGTAACTTTTGCTGCCCTGTGACATCCTACCGCCATCTTTCATGACGTAATCATTTCATGAGTTCTGAGTCATCCTGACTGCCTGAAAGTTTATAAGATCTTTCCAATAAACACGTTCAAAAGACTTCTCAGTTGTTGCTAAGTGACAAGTATACCTTTTACACACACACACACACGTACATGTGCATGCACATGCGATCTCATTTATTTATAGTTTCAAAACAACTCTAGAAAGAAATTACAAAACACTTTTGCTAATGGGTATATTTTAAAAGGAAATCTTTGCCAGTGACCTTGTGGAATATAACAATTAAATGTAGGGCACAGAGCGTCACTTCCTTTAGCTACCCAGCCAATGTCTAGTGACAAAATGCGGGCTGCTCTGTCTTCAAAGTCCACTTGACTGCATAGCAATGAGGATTATGTAACCAGCCTTACTGAGAGCCAAGGCTTCAGACTATGGGGACTTCAAGTGAAGTCACGACACAGATTGCAAAGTTTGCATTCTGCTGCCTGTAGTCAGCTGGACCGAAAGGTCTAGGAACATTTGTGCAGGGGAAAGAAAACCATGGCAACCAGGACTGTTCCTACGGACAGATGCCCTGGAAGGCAATGCTCAGAGCACAGGTCCCCACGCAGCCCTGTTAGCTGTGGGAGAGTAGATATCTTATGAAAATTGGGAGGGGGAGCTTCATTTTTTTTTCTCCTAGTTTTGCACCCACCTCACAGGCTTATTGTAAGCATCAAGCAAGGGCTTTCTTGCAGTGTGCCGTGAACTTTTTTGACAATTTAACCCCACGCGTTGCATTTTTCAGTTGCTCACGATAATACACACAGTATGCAGCGTAGCACGACACAGGTTCTTCCGTTACACGGAGAACACCCCAGGGGAAACCCAGGGCCCTTCTACATGAGGCCGAGGCGCACGTACTCACGTTCAGCAATGGTGAGCGGAGGGTAAGTGAGGTAGAATCCTACCAGCTCAGCGGAGAGCTGGCTAAGGAGGCTGCTGGCCACGGTGCCGTTGAGGAAGGAGGTCTGATTGCCCACAGCATACACCAGTGTGACGGCTTGGGAGGCATTGGACGTGCTCACGATCTGAATGACACAGGAGCAAAAGGGAAGGAGACATGCCAAATAAGGTGAGGGTCTGTGTCACAGAGGCCGACGAAGGGACCTTCCAACAGAAGTTGTGGGTTGCGACGGAAGGGCAGTGGGGAGACAGCAAAGAGGAAAAAAGAATAGTAAGTCATTGTTTAGAGATGGTGGGATCATGGCAGGCACTGGGCTATGGGGCTACATCATCTCCATCTCTCTCTAACCCTGCAAGGAGTGTCTATTTATGACTGCCTTTCACACACGTGGAAACCACGGCCTGGCGTGACCGGGATTTGTCTGAGGTCATATAGCTCATGCATGACAGAGTCAGGATTTGAACCCAAGCCGTCTTGATTTCTGGCTCTTAATCAAGCGTGTGTCTTTCCCAGGGGTTAAGCTGACTCAAGTGACCGCCGTAATTCTGGAAATAGAAAGCAGAGCATGGGGGTTCAGGAGGACGGCCCAACTGCAAAATGTTCAGGGACCTTTCAGGTTGTTGTGAGCAGGGTGCCGGAATATGAGCGTAACAGGAATTCAGAAATACAAAATAGATCCTTTATGGCACAATAACTTCCTTTTGCGAACCATTAATTTGGTATGGAGTATGAGAAAGACATTCTCTAAGATAACATAGGTTTCTCCTCATACTCAGTCTTATTTCATTTTTAGTTGCTAGGGAAAAATGAGATTTTCTGGGTCAGTGTACAGATAAAAATATCTCGAACATTTGAAAAACACGAGCAGGGAAAACATCACTGGCCGGGCAAGATGCCTTTGCTGGGCGATGTGTGTGTGTCTGCCCTTTCTCTCCAGATCTCCTTGCCATTGCCCTGTATGTCACAAAGGGCATCCCACAGGTTCCACCATGGTTTCTTTGGGAGAGAGGAAGGGCGGGCAGGGTATTAATGCCAGTCACCCTCCCAGTGGGCATCAGGCCCAGGCATAGCCTGGATACTAGGCTGTCCCTGCCTGCACATTCAGCTGAGATGCCTTTATGGAACTCTCAAGTTCCTTTTGAGGACTGTCTTACATACCCGGGGACTGACTGCCGCCTGGCTTGCTGGGAACTTTTTGTCTAGGCGACATCTCTACAGCTTTGCTCTCTGTCCCGACTTGGAAGAGAGCTGCTCAGAATAGCGTCTGCACTTTGCTGTCTGTTTTCCCCACAGGTGGCAAACGTCTCTCAGTTCTCCAACCAAGAGTCATAACCTTTTGCCAAGGATAACCCAGCCAACATTTCTGCTCAGCTCTTGCTCTCCTCTCAGAAAGTAATTCTGGAATGTGCTTCAGCTATAGGTATTCAGACCTCTGTCCTGGGTATGCAGAAAAAAAACACTTTCTGACTTAAACGAGTTTACTGAGAACTGGAGAGATGGCTCAGTGGCTAAGCGCTAAAAGCATTGGGTATCTTTCAGAGGACCTGAGATTGATGGGCGGCACCCAGATCAGGTGGCTCACAACCACCTGTAACTCCAGCTCCGGGGAATCCAGTGCCCTCTTCTGGCCTCTTAGGGCACCCACATGTTTACACACACACACACACCACACATAATAAAATAAATAATCAAATAATAAAACTAATTAATCTTTATTGCTATTGTGATTATGAGAATTTACTAAATACATGCCCCCTTTTAATAAATAGCACTAAATCTCCCTGGACCTCCAAGAAGTCCATAAAGCTAGTAATATAGAATTTTATATATATCTATACATATAGACATAGATATGTATGTGTGTGTGTACATTTATAAAATTATGTATGTTCATACATATATTCTACCAGGTAAGTTATACCTTTTTGTTGTGGTAAAATATATAAATCACAGAATTTGGTGTTCTAACCATTTTCAGCATTAAGTAGATTCTCATTTTTTTAGGGGTGCAATGAACTTTATTGATGGTATTCAAGAGAGTAGGGCTCCCTAAGCCCCCTCCTGCTATTCTGGGGGTCTGGGATGGAAACTGTGAGGGAGATGCTCAGTGTCAAGGGTTAGTTAGGACAGGGACTGCTCAGCAGCCGAGGACCTCTCTCTTGCTGTGTCCTTGCTGGGATGGGTGGTCCAGGGGGGGCTTCTTACTCCTTGGAGGCCATGTAGGCCATGAGGTCCACCACTCTGTTGCTGTAGCCGAATTCATTGTCGTACCAGGAAATGAGCTTTACAAAGTTGTCATTGAGAGCAATGCCAGCCCCAGCATCGAAGGTGGAAGAGTGGGAGTCACTGTTAAAGTCACAGGAGACGACCTGGTCCTCAGTGTAGCCCAGGATGCCCTTTAGTGGGCCCTCAGATGCCTGCTTCACCACCTTCTTGATGTCGTCATACTTGGCAGCTTTCTCCAGGTGGCATGTCAGATCGATGACGGACGCATTGGGGGTAGGAACGCGGAAGGCCATGCCCGTGAGCTTCCCGTTCAGCTCTGGGATGACTTTGCCCACAACCTTGGCAGCGCCAGTGGACGCAGGGATGATGTTTTGGGTAGCGCCACGGCCGCCTCGCCACAGCTTCCCAGAGGGGCCATCCACAGTCTTCTGGGTGGCCGTGATGGCATGGACTGTGGTCATGAGTCCTTCCACGATGCCAAAGTTGTTATGGATGACCTTGGCCAAGGGGGCTAAGCAGTTGGTGGTGCAGAAAGTGTTGCTGACAATCTTGAGGGAATTGTCATATTTGTCATGGTCACACCCATCACAAACATGGGGGCATCAGCAGAAGGGGTGGAGATGATGACCCTCTTGGCCCCACCCTTCAAGTGGGCCCCAGCCTTCTCCATGGTGGTGAAGACACCGGTAGACTCTACAACATACTCGGCGCCGGCATCCCCCCATTTGATGTTGGCGGGATCTCGCTCCTGGAAGATGGTGATGGCCTTCCCGTTGATGACAAGCTTCCCATTCTCAGCCTTAACTGTGCCTTTGAACTTGCCATGGGTGGAGTCATACTGGAACATGTAGACCATGTAGTTGAGGTCAATGAAAGGGTCATTGATGGCAACAACATCCACTTTGCCAGAAGTGAAGGCAGCCCTGGTAACCAGGCGCCCAATACGGCTAAATCCGTTCACTCCGACCTTCACCATCGTGTCTCTGGAACGAGGCTGGTACTGCACGAAAAGAAGCGGCTGTCTCTAGAACAGGGAGGAGCAGAGAGCCGTCGATTCTCATTTTTGCTAACCATCACCAACGCCATCTTCTGAACATCCTCACTGCCCCCAAGTGTATCTCTACTTCCATTAAACAATTCCCAGTTTCTCTATATTCTTCTTGCAAGGTTGCTCTTAGAGTAAGATTACTGATTATTCCACAACTCCAGGTATCTGGTAGAAGAGAAATCACTCTAGAGTTTTCTTCTGTGATGGGTTTCCTTCACTTAGCACAGTGACCTCAATGCCAGCCAAGCTGCAAGAGGACCGGAATGGCCTTCTTGATAGAAGGCTTGGTAACATTCCCACATATGTATAGACTACATTTATTTTTCACGTATCCATTTGATAGACACTTGGTTCGCTTTTGGTTTTTGGCCATTGTGAATACTGTACAAATACCTATCTTACTTCCTAGATCCTATCTTTAATTCTTTTTGATTTGTAGATGGACATGGGTTGCTGGATCATACTGTAACTGCATGTTTAGGTTGTTGAGGGGCCACGGTATTGTTTTCCACAGTGGCTGTCCATTGCACATGCCTTGGGAAGAATACAAGGACTCTAACGTCTCCATATCCTCAACAACACTTACTATTTTCTAGGTTTGGTTTTGTTTTTGAGAGTGATCATCCTAACAAATGTGAAATGGTGTCTCATGATTATTAGGTCAAAGCCTTTTACTCCCAGCTCTCCGTGTTTGCTGCTCTCCTTGTGATGGTATAGCTACAACCCAGGGCATAATGCATGCTGGAAAAAGACAATGGCACTCATCCGAGCCTTCTTTAGCCGTTAACTTTCTTTTAGCTGGTGCATAGCAGGAATTATTCCCATTTCTTTAAGTTCTGGAAAAGAATCACTTATCAGATAGATAATTCATAATTCTGTGGGTGATCTTTTACCCTGTTATTAGTGTCTGTTGATGGGCAAAGTTCTTATTTTCAAGGTTGTTCAACTGGCTTGTTTCTCTGGGCTTTGCGTTTTTCTAGTAGTGTGTAAGACACTCAGGTCCATGAAATCGTTCCTCTATGCTCTGAGCCCTTCGACTTTAGTTCTTACGTGTAGGTCTTTGATCGACTTCAAGCTGATTTTGGTTGATAATGTTAGTGCAGCTCCAGCTTCCTCCTTTTGCAATGTGTATATTCATCATCGAAAAGATCATCCTTTTCATCATAGACCAACCTTGATAAAAACAGTGGACTTGTTTCTGGCCTCTCTATCTAGGCCAGTGATCTCTGTGTCTGTCATAAAGTTGAGACCACACTGATTCAGTTATCATAGCCTTTTAAATTAATTTTTGAAAAAAGGAAGTGCAAAACTTAGAAAATTTGTCCTCTGTCAAGACTGTTTTTGTTCTTCAAGGTCTTTGAGGTAGTTTGAGGGACTACTCGAACTTCAGGATAGATTTCTCTATTTCTGTCTTTAAAAACATCACTGGGATTGGTGTGTGTGTGTGTGTGTGTGTGTGTGTGTGTGTGTGCACGTGCCCATGAAGGTCAGAAGAGTGTGTCAGAACCCTGGTGCTGGAGTTACAGGTGGCTGTGAACTGCCTGGTGTGGGTACTAGTCACTGAACTCAGGTCTTCTGCAAGATCAGCAAACATTCTCAACAGTTGAGCCATCACTCTAGGTCCCTCATCCCATTGGGTTTTGAGACAGGAATGTGTACCTCTGACTGGTCTTGAACTTGCTATGCAAGCTAGTCTGCCCTTGCGTCTACATCAATCCTGTCTCTTTCTCTAGAATGGGATTTCTGTAGGGATCACAGTCAATCCACAATCCCCATTGGTGAATATTGAGATCTTTATAGCTTAAGGACTCCCAAGCCATGAACACAGCTCTGTTTCCATGCCTCTGGATCTTCTTTAATGAACTCAGTGATGTCATTTTAGAAAGCCTCTGACCTCATCTCTTCTCATTCACTCATTCTGGTTCATTAGTTCATTAGGCCACAGGCCTAATGTTCCTAGCATCTTTCTCCTTCTATGACAGTAGCGCCATGATCCCTGGAAAGCCACCTCCCTTCTCCACTTTGTCCATGTGCTTTGGTACAGCTACCACTTCCCATGTTCAGAAGTAGGCATTTGTGTCAGACACTGATCAGGATACTTCATCTCCTTGGTCACAGTTACCAACTCAGAAGAGGAACAGAAGGACCAATGAGAGCAGGACTCAAGGTCTAGATTAAAATGATGTCAAAAAAGGGGGTTCTTTGGTTCCACAAGGCGATAAGCAATAGGAACAGGCAAATCTGGAAGGATCAAGGACCACTCAGTAGAGGCAGAAGTGTGCTGGGCCAGAGAGACAGCTCAGCAGTCAAGAGCACTTGGGCTGGAGAGATAGCTCAGTGGTTAAGAACATTGCCTGCCCTTCCAAAGGTCCTGAGTTCAATTCCCAACAACCACATGGTGGCTCACAACCTGGTGCCCTCTTTTGGCCTACAGACATACACACAGACAGACTATTATATAATAAATAAATAAATATTAAAAAGAGCACTTGTCGTTCTTCCAGAGGGTCTGGGTGCATTTCCCAAGCACGCCTAAGGCATCTCACAGCCATCTGTAACTCTAGTTCTAGAAGAGCAGACAGCCTTGTCTGGCCTCCCTGGGCACTCTATGCATGGGACTCACAGAGTACATACAGTAGGCAAAGCATATAGACAGTGAAATAAAACAAACCTTAACAGAAGAAGGGGGAGGATGAGGAGGGATCTGGAGGAAAGCAAGCCGAGAGATGAACAACAGAGAACTTCCTGAAGAAAACGTTGATGCACCTGGATCCGGTTGTACCTCCAGTCAATGAGATGTATCTCGGTGGAATGAACCCATCACTGCCTCTTTCGGCTTATGTCTCATAAGCCTGGATTCTGTTACAACCCTCATTGAGTCAACTGTAATCTAGCTCCTAATGCTGTGTGTTCTTTTAGTCCCTTTTTCAATGACTCCGATATTTATAGCTTTTTATTCCACAAAGGATTCAAGCTACCATACAAATTATATTTAGTAGAATGGGATGGAAAAGTTACAAAAACATAAATTTGGAAGACACATTATCATGATCCCAGGAAGGCAGCCAGCATGCAGTTACCTGTGAATGATACAGGGACCAAGAAGGCGTGTTCAATCCAATGACAAACCTGGTTCTGATACTTCATATTAGCCAAGGCAAAATGTGAATTGGGATTAATAAAATGATTTATTCAATCAATTTCAAAGGCTTCTTCCAACGTGTCAGAGAGCAGCTCAAATCTAGCTAGACACAATGGTCAAGTCACCTGCTGTCATCTTTTCCAAGGAAGCTTTGTGGCTTGTGTTTCATCTGATGACCCATAACCAGCTCACAACAGAGAGAGGCTGAAGACCAAGGGCATCTTATTTATCTTGATATCTGATCTCAGAGCAGCTAATAAACAGCAGGTACCCACGAAATCTCTTAACGCATACTGTGTTGCCAAGAACTGCTTAGGTTCACACACCTGTAAAGACCACAGAGCCAACCCTGAAGAAAAAGATTTCCCACAAGACCCGAGTCATACTGCTTACATAAATCTTAAATCTGTGACACATTTTTCGATCTCAGACTAATAAGAGTTGAGTTGTAATGAGATCCTCCCTGATCCGTTTGCCCAAGTCTAGAAAAGGAAAGCCGCTCCTTCAAATTAGATCGTGCGCTTTCTACATTGTATTGGCTTTACTGGAAGCACACTTATGCTAAATTTCAATTTCAAAAGCCCTGGGTCTAATGGCAAAGGCTTTAGTTCAGTAGTCAAAACAGACACAGAACAGTGGCATTAATTAGAGACCTTGGGGGATGGATGAATATCATTAAGAAGCTTCTATCCTCACTGAGATGTTATCTAAATAATTACACACACACAAATGGGTCTGAAAAAGGCTTTTAGTGGGTTCACACTGTTAGCCAGGAAGCCAAATATACGGTGTACCCGGAACTGGATTTCCCTGGGAAAGACGTGCTTCCCGACGGCTCGGGGACTCCCTTTCCACACTGTCCATGCTGGGGCAGTTTGGTGGATAAGAAGACAGTTTGGGCTCACATCTTTACTCGATTCTTTCCCAACCATGTGACCTCCCGGGAGTTTCAAATGCTTCTCTCGGTTCTCACGTGAACGCGGTGCAGATGACATCTCAGAGAATGTCTTAATCACACACAGAAAATATTTGTAAGACACTAAGTACTGCTGCTGGCAGAGAGGAAACCCCTGCTGTTAGAGATGTGGGTGTTGCTGGGGGTGCTTTTGTTTGCGTGTGATGTTCGTTTATGTTGACGCTTTGGAAATAGCCCACTGAAAATCACATGACAGCTAATCACGAAAAATCACAACAGAGTTAGTGATCTAAAAATCTACTCACTGGCCCCAGGTGGCTCAGGAGATAAAGGCACCTGCCACGAAGCACGGGGACCTGCATTCAATCCCTGGGACCCACGTGTTGGAAGGCGAGAACTCTTCTCGCAAGTTGTTCTCTGAACTCCACATTTGCTCTGTAGCATGTGCCCTCCAAACACATGCACACACACACACACACAAATAATGTAAAAAGTTAAACTCATTTTAATATGAGAAAATTGATTCACCTTACAAAGTATATTCAGGTTCAATTCTTTAATGATAAACCCATTAAAAGGTTAGAGGAGGGTTGGAGAGACGGTTCAGAGGTTAAGAGCACTGGTTGCTCTTCCAAAGGTCCTGAGTTCAACTCCCAGAAACCACATGGCAGTCCACAACCATCTGCAATGAGATCCCATGCCCTCTTCCGGTGTGTAGGCATACATGCAGACAGAACACTGTATATATAATAAATAAATCTCTAAAGAAAGGAAGGAAGGAAGGAAGGAAGGAAGGAAGGAAGGAAGGAAGGAAGGAAGGAAGGAAGGAAGAAAAGGAAGGCAGGCCAGAGGAAGCATTACATACAAAAAGCAAATATTAATCCCTGAATCATGGTAGCTTCACAGTGACGTGGAATCCAATCCTACCTACCATAGCCAGATCTCAGTCACCCTCACCAATGCCATGGCTGTCTATATCACCTGCCAAAAGCACAAACTTACACTTGCCTATGCAAGCTTTTAAACGGGGGAGGGGCGCTATCTGCATTATGGCTGCTGTCTGCTGTGCAGCCTGAGGTCTCTCCTCCCTACCTGAAGCGTCAGGTTGCTCCTGCTGTTAAGGACTTTCCTCTCTGCATCCTGGAATGCCTTCTGCAGCCTCTGCTCCATCGTCTGGGCAAACTTGCAGGACTGAATGTTGTCTGATTGGCTTACAAACTGCAACACTAGAAGAAGAACGGCAGTCACCACCACTCACCAACGCTGTCTTAGTTCCTCAGGTTTAATAGCAGTCGTGATACAAAACAGCGTGACTTTTAGGTTACAGAAACTAGGCAAATAAACGGTAAGACCAGCCAAGCTTTAATTACAGTTTTGAAAGTAGCTCCTAAGACGATTTATAGCAGAGAATAATTAAAGCATGAATGAGCCCAAAGTGCTCTCCAACACAGAGGATGTCATGACTTTATCCCACGAGACTGCAGACATCTGCTCAAACATGACAACCAGTGCATGGGGATGATCATTATCCTCCATGCTAACCTGATGGTTTCCATCACCATGGTACCGCTACACGTGTGCTTCACAGACTTTGAAAACCAGCAACCACAAGAGAAATTGAGAGAAAGCTGTCAAAGTCTTTGCTGGGAGACTACTTCACTAACAGTCAGAACCTGTTAGTTCCAGACTATAGGTTTTATAGGCGCTCAACTCAGAGTAGTGCCCACTGGTAAGAAAGATATTCTGCGCTGCAATGCACTAAGTATATAGATTGGGAAGAACAGCTCTAGGGTGGAACACGCCCAAGAAGGTCTGAATTACGGGTGTTGAGAAGTGGGGAACTTGGATATCTGATGAGCAGGAAAGTCTGACTGTATAAGGGCTATGGATACTGGCAAGCAGCTGGCAGTGGGGCTCTAGACCGTGCCCTGCTTGTCTGGCCCTGGATGATGGGACTTGCCTGTCTTCAGCTGGAAGGCACCTGCAGGCTGGGGCTTCCACGGGGAGGCAAGCACCGCCACAGACTGTAAGGAGGGAGTGTGTTGCTTCAGGTCGGCAGTGACGTTGCTGACTCCATACACACCCAGCATGTCCATCACCACAGCAGGCAAATACACCAGCCTGCCTTTGGTAGCATAGTAGCCAACCGTGACATTATGGGAATATTCCAGGATGTCCACCTACAAAACAAATGGACCCCAGAATGCACTGTTTATTCCCATAGTACTTTAAGTTCCTCTTTGTGTTCTTAGAGTCACAGCTGCTACCTAGTAAGACTGTAGACTATGATTTTCTCATTGAGCAAATAACAACTCTGTAAAGTACACATGTGAATTCCAAAGTATGACGATACAACAAAATAAAACTCACATCAAACCGACATAAGATACAGCTGAAGCTGGTTTTGGATTCCTTGAGTATTTTGAGTAAGATCCACTGAGCACTAATTCTATCACCAGGATGCCAAAGAGGGCCAGCAGGCAGAAGAGACAGCTAAGAAGCAGAATGCTGCTTAGCAAAAAAAGTGAAGACACCTCACTATGGCTGGGAGGGAAAAGGCAGAGAGGGTGACTGAAGTAGGGCCAGTTCTGAGGACAGGTGACAAGGTATCTAAGTAGAATCTTCTGCCTTGAAGCGGAGAGGAAGCCTTCAGGCTTGACACCTTCCCTGGCTTAGATCCTGGTTCATGGCCAAGGTGGAGATGATTCAGAGGCCTTCTCTCCCAAGTGAGTCTTAAGGGATATGAACAGCCTAAGCCCTCTCTGTCCCAGTGGAAGGATTTTGAAGCTTTAGAGCTTATTCTTACTGCATTTTGCTTTGTTGATGATGTTGTATGTTTACAGTTTTAAGTGTGGATTTTTGTTTTTGATATATTAAATGTGATGTTTATCATAAAATTGGAATTTTGAAAAATTAAGAGAGAAAATGGTAATTGTCTCAGGTATTACTACCACTACCTGCTAGGTGGATCTCCTGTCAATCATTTTTGCCTGGGAATACATATTTTTGTATATATATATATATATGTATATGTGTGTGTATGTAAAGAAATATAAAATATACACATTCATATACTTATATGTATACAGGGTAGATCCTGCTGCATAATCTCTTCACTTTTCTCTATGCCTGAGTGACTATATGTTTGTGTCTGTACATATGTGTGTTTGTCTATGTGTATATACATGTGTATACGTTTGTGTGTGTTTGTATGTATATATGTATATGTGTGTGTGTGTTGCTGGAGATTGAACCTAGGACTTTGTACACAGTAGACAAAAGCTCTACTTCTGAGCAGATCCCCAGGTTCCCTTATTCTTTGTGTTGTGGTAAAACCCAGATCACATGCAATCTACTGTCTAAACCATGCCTTACATGCTCGTTCACTGATACTTTCAACACCCAGATTATGGATGTGACCAGCATCCCCACGCCTCTCCCATGGACTTCATGCTGTGTGTCAGACTGTCTTAACCTCTGCACACTTTCCCATTCCTGCATCTGCATTAGTGTCCTGTAGGGCTGGGGAGACAGGTCAGGAGCAAACCATTAGCACAAGGCCCCAAGTCATAAACACTTTTCAAAGAACTCAAGAAAACTGAGTTTGCAACATGATGGATGCAATCTGGTCCTTCTAAAGTGTTCTCGATGGTTCTTTATAAAAATGACTAACCAAGGAGCTTCAAGATGGCCCATGAACACAGCCCCCAAAAACAACTCACCCAGTGAGCATTCTGTGAACTTCCCAGACCTTCTTTTTTTCTTATTTATTTATTTAAGATTTCTGTCTCTTCCCCACCGCTGCCTCCCCTTTCCCTCCCCCTCCCCCAATCAAGTCCCCCTCCCTCGTCAGCCCAAAGAGCAATCAGGGTTCCCTGCCCTGTGGGAAGTCCAACTGTACCTATAGGTTTCGTGGGAGCCTAGGCAGTTTCGTGGATGCTAACCTTCCCAGACCTTCTAATTTCTTCAAAGAGCAAGCCTTGTTTCGGGGACTATTTGCTTTTTATACATTTATAACCCCTGTATGTCTTTAAAAACAAATGAAGGAACAAACCAATCACCGAGCAAAGCGATGCCAGGCTCTGCCCCTCAACCTAGTGCAGACAATGTCGGCTAAATGGAACTCTTTGTGCCCACTAGTCTCATTTTTGCCTGTGGTGAGATTTTGTTTGTGCTATAACAAATTAAGCTTGCCTGAGGATCAGAATGTGGAGCGAGTCATTAGGTAGTCATAGAGGCCAGGCAGTGGTAATGCACACCTTTAATCCCAGCACTCGGAAAGCAGAGGTAGATGGATCTCTGTGAGTTCAAGGCCACGTTGGGCTACACTAGATTGATCCAGTCTCAAAGAGAAATAGAAACCGGTCTCGCTGAACATAGTGGACAATGAGGATTACTGAGACCTCAAGAACAATGGCAATGGGTTTTTGATCCTACTGTACCTATTGGTTTCGTAGGAGCCTAGGCAGTTTCGTGGATGCTCACCTTACTAGACCTGGATGGAGGTGGGTGGCCCTTGGACTTCCCACAGGGCAGGGAACCCTGACTGCTCTTTGGGCTGATGAGGGAGGGAGACTTGATTGGGGGAGGGGGAGGGAAAGGGGAGGCGGCGGTGGGGAAGAGACAGAAATCTTTAATAAATAAATAAATAAAAATTAAAAAAAATAAAAAAAATAAAAAAAATCACTTTCAAATAAGGAATAAAGTACTTTTAAAAAAGGAAAAAAAAAAAAAAGAAATAGAGTCAGGTGGTGGTGGCTCTCACTTTTAATCCCAGTACTTGGGAGTCACATGCCTTTAATCCCAACACAAGGGAAGTGGAGACAGGAAGGGATGTGGCTGGGTGGAGAGAGGAATGTAAGGCGGGAGGAGAGAGGAGCTCAAGGCAGTCAGTCTGAGGACTTGTAAAGACAGGATACCCCATTCAGTCTGAGGACTTGTAAAGACAGGATACCCCATTCAGTCTGAGGATTCCTGGAGACAGGATCTTGCCCGCTTCGGTCTGAAGATTCAGTTGAGGTAAAAAAGTCTCTCTGGTGGCTGGCTCCTTTACTTCTCTGATCTTAGAGCATTTACCCCAATATCTGATTCTGTGTTTTTATTAAGACCAATTAGAATTTGTGCTACATTTGCCACTACCTTTTATTCATGGAAAGTGATCCTGATTTACGTTCATTGTGCTGATATAAAACTGTGTGTTAAGTTTACAGAGTGCACCAATTTAGAGACTAGAAACGGTTGCAGTGGTCCGCAGTGCTGTGCAGGAAGAGCGGAAGCTGCCGAGGCCCCTGGAAAAGGACTGCGGCTCCGCGAAAGCCACACCAGGCACGCGGAGGAGAGCAGTTCCGTGCTCAGCTTTTGGGTTTGAAAGTTTTAAGGTTCCAGTGCTTTTCCCTCCTTCTCTCCCTTCTTTCTTCCTCTCGATTTCTTTTTTCCAGAATTGTAAAAGAGAGATTGACAGCGACCAAAAGAGGATGTGCCAAAATCTCACCCAGATCCTCTGTATCACGGGTGGGGGGACGACTCGACTGGACGCAGCTGTTACCCAGGCCATCAGAAGAGGACGCCGGAATGATATGTTTAAGTCATACAAAAGGGAGCCCGCTGGCTGCCAGTTGCATTCACTGCTCTAACACTTGGGATCAACCCAAAAGACTGTAAAACAATGCCTCTGCCGCTTGGCTGTGCCACGGGAGCCAGCCCGCACTTATTAAGCAGTACTTGGCATTGGAGTGTTTGGAAGGAAAAATGTTTACTTCCCTGTCTGCTGCTGGCATGCCAAACAAAGTGGAACTCCTCTTCCAGATCTGAGTAATTAGGGCTTTTGTTGTTAGTAGTAGTGGTTTGGGTTTGGGTTTGGGTTTTCGAGACAGTCTTAATCTGTAGCCCAGGGTAGCCTCAAACTTGGGTAAATCCTCCTGTTTCTCAGCCTCTCACTTTCTGGGAGTATAAGCATGCAATATTTACCTGACTTTATTATACTTGTTAAATGTCCAGAAATAAATCACTGTTTATAGTTGTGCAGAAGATAAACAGAAAAAAAAAAAGACAAAACAACAATGGATTGATCACTTCTAGAGGACACCAAATACTCCTCCAATGACGGAACAGTTTTTAAAAATATAAAAGTAATAAAGGTAATTAGTCTCAAGTTTTCCTCTTGAAATGACCCTTTTCTCCAGCCACATACGTTAGCTCTCTGCTAAAAAATGTCAAAAACTTCCACTTCCAGCAAGCGTGGGTGTGGCGCCTAGGAAGGAGAAAAACATTTACTCCTACTCCGGACCCGAGGCTGAATTGGCCATCTTAGGAAGGAAGGAGCTTACATGAGCAGAGACATCGTTCTGGTGGAAAGCCTTCCGCAATGCCTGCGTGAGCCCTTTGGTTACACCAAGCTTCAAGGACTCGCTGCTCTGCACTCTCCTCTGAGTTAGGAAGAAAACTGTGGGGTGAAACAAAGGCACAGCAATCAGAGTTACTAGTGAAGGTCATAGTGACCAGTCAGCCCCCCCCCCTCGGCGTCCATCTAACCCAGAGCACGCCTGAATCGGCAAAGGCCACCAATCAGGGGACAGGCTGGGGAGTGACTGTTGGACTGATGAAGGCCCAAGCCATTTTGGGAGTCTTAATGCTGAAGAGTTGGTGTGCTGATGGCACATCGTTTCCAGCTCACTCCGCCTCTGACTGTGAGGACCAGCAGCCTCTATTCCTGTACCCAGCAGGTCAACATGCAACCACAGTTCTGTAATGGCATACATAGAGACTGGCCCTGAACTGAGTTCTACAGTTCTGATCAGTTCAGAAGGGACAGGCCCACTTCACAGGTGCAAGTGGCATCTGTAGCTGAATTTAACTGTCACTATCAGAAGGAAATTAGAGTTCTGCCAAGGCTTCTGGAAGAGGTTGGGATCAGGGAAGGTCTCCATGGGAATTATGCTTCTGACGAGTACTGAAGGGTGACAGTGGTCAGCTAAACAAGAGGAAGGGACTGCCCTCCCCCCTTACCCCAACTCCCAGAGCCAGGGGTGCCAAGTGAAAAGGCTGGGGGGCGGTGAATCTTGTCCATGTACGTGATTAACTTAATTCTAAGGGAGAGAGGAAATAGGAATTTAAAATGTATTCTAGAAGACCCCTTTGACTACATGCTGGTAAACAGACCGAGGTCTGTAGAGAGAGACACGCGTATAGGGCAGCAGTGATGGTGCAGCAGGCACGAGGTAGTGCAGTGGGCGGTGGGACGGAGAGAAGGGGTATTCAGAGTGAGAGGAGAAAGATCTGGTGGGGGCGGGGTGAAGAAGAGAGCAGCTGAGAAGGTGCTTCTGCGAGGCGGGGGCTGGAAGAAGGCATGGATCTGGAGAGGGGAGGGGGTTAAGAATGCAGATGGCATAACAGAGAAACAGAAAGAGATACTGTGTTTTCTGCTGGGCCTAGTTTCACAATTTCCCATTTTAGAATAAGATATAATTTCCCCTCGTTCTTTGTGGGCCGAGGAGGAAGGCGGGAATGAGCACTCAACACTGGCATGCTCTCTCAAATAATCTGTCCAATGCTTTTTATAGAAAACACTACTGCACTGTTCAAAACACTCCAAGTATTCTAGACTTGCTTTCTGCAACCAGGGAGTGGGGCAGAGAAGAGATCAACCCCACCGACATCAAAAGAGATCCCAGACCCCACCCGCCATGCGGTTCAACTGTCTGCTATTAGGAAAACCTTTCTGAACGGCACAGCGATTCCCAAGATTCTGTGTTAGATGATCCGCATCATTTATTCATGTGAGACATCACTGGTAGACTTCACAGACAAAACACGCTGTCTTCTGGAGCTTTCTGACCCACTGGGCTAATTGTGGTTTCCCTGGGCACTTCTGATGCCAGAACCAATCCTAGGGCTAGAATCTGCATCATCCAGCGTTCCCCTTGTCCGACACTTGATGAGAGTCAAGGTTTCTCAACCTTGACATACTGATTAGTCTGTCTCTTTCTTCCACCTCACCCCCGTGTGTGTGTCTATGTGTGTGTGTGAGAAAGGTAGAGAATACCCCCAGGTTATTCCTCAGGAACTACCCACCTTGTTTTTTGAGACAAGGTCTCTCACTGTAGCTCATCAAGTAGGCTAGACTGACAGACTGGGGTTATAAGCTACCGTAGCCAGTTTTCTTAAAACATGGGTTCTAGGTCAGCTCAGGTCACCATGTTAAGCACCTTACCAGCTGAGTGTGGTCTCCAGCCACAGTTAGTCTTTATTGTGCAGACTGAACACAGTGAAACGTTCAACACCATCCCAGGTGCCCACAGGTTCCAAGCAACACCCCTTCCCAAAGTGCGACAACCAGAATGTCTCCAGACATTGTCACACCTCAGAGAAGGAGGCCGAGAGCACTCCTGATTGACACGCACGGATCTAAGAGAACTCGTTCTGTTGAATGGCTGAGGTCAGGATTGCCCCTATGTCGTCAGACCAATAAGACTGTGGCCTCTCACCTGTCTTCACTAGGAGCCTGTGGGACATCTGACAGTCCAAGTTGGACGCCATCCTGCCAGTTGTGACCATCGCAGTAGACACAGCCGGAAAAGCAGCGTCCGTGTTTCCTGTCTGCAGAGATGGCAGCCTCGTGGCCTTTACTGATGCTGTACCGGACGTCAGTGCAGCAGTGATTGTCAGCGGGCGGGCGGTGGATGCTCTGGGTGTGTCTGGCCTGGTGGGATTAGGGAGGCCAGTGTGCATGGCTTGTGGTTTCTTGGGGAGGTGTGTGGTGGACAACAGGCCCGAAGCAGAGCCCGTGGCCCCTTGTGTGGCTGTGTGTGTGCTCATGCTGTGTGCTGTCCGGGCAAGCATGTAGGTTGGTGTGATTGGGAAGGCAGTGTGGACTGTCCCTGCTGTCACCTTTGGGCTGGATGCTGCCTTGCTGGTGACATTTTTAGCTAGAGCTGTGGTCAGACCGCTCTTGGATAAACCGCCGCTGCTGCCAGTGCCCTTAGCAGTGAGGGCTGCAGACAACGCTGCTGGGCTTGACTTCCTCAGAAACAGGGTGGTGGTGGCAGCGGCTGCAGCTGTTGCTGTCAGTTCTCCCTTGGGTGACACTGAGGTTTCCACTGCAAAGAGAGAAAAGGAAGAGTTTGTCATTGGTCTGGGATGCACACGTCACTCTCCTGACGATGAAGAAATGTAACTTATGAGCTTGCTAGTGTAAGATGTCTCTATGCTCCAGGCTTGCAGCGGGGAGAACTCAGGCGAAACAACCTTAGGTTCATTAAGTCAATTAGTCATAATGCGAATGCCACGTACAGCAAAGCCATGGTTGTTGATAACAAGGAAATAAATTCTGAATACTTTCACAAAACTCAAGGAGGCAGGGAGGATCAGCCGCATGCCTGTCTGGAGTTGTACCTCACTACACACCGAGGGGAGGCGGGCTGCTTCAAAGCAAAGCTGCGCATCTGTGTTGAGCTTGAAGATGCTTTGGCCGGAAAAGCAGTCATACCTGTTTTCTGGGTACCAGGAAGCAAACTACCTGCATTAGTGGCTGCACCCGTCCGTGTCTTGGGGCGCCGAGAAGTTCGCAGCACTTTGGAGGGGGTCCTGGAAAAGGCACCAGTTGACATGGAAGTGGAGTCTGTAGATGAATGGTATTCCACGACACTCTGGAATTGTGGGGAGCCATTCTTTCCTGGTGACAGAGAGGTGTCACTGGAAACTTGTGAATCTGTGTCTGTTCCATCTGAAAGCATTCTCTGCAAGCTAGCTGCAGAAGCTAAGCTTGGCCAGGTTGGCCAAAGAGGATGGGCTGGCCGGAGAGGCAGCTGCGACATAGAACGTTGACGTGTGGGTGGATAATAATCCCCCATCGCTGTGTCAAAGTCTCTTGGGTGCTTGCTTGTGAGCCAGAGGTCTGTGTGGCTTTCAACTATGGCCCCTTCCGATGGCCGCAGGGGCTGATTGCCACTCTGACTGAAGACTAGATCCTGAAAGTTAAAGCCATCTGTCGTCACCAACTGCCCAGCAGCCTCTTTGAAATTCTGAGGTTGTATCGCATTGGCATCCGAAGTTGTACGGCTGGGAAGAGTCGCTGAAGCTGGAGGAGACTCCCAACTTGTGGAGCTAACTGTTGGAGTGTTTAAATCATGATCCGTTTGCCATGGCAAACCAGACATTGTCGGTTCTGTGGAGAGGGATGCAGTTGCCGCAGCAAGAGAGCTCCAGAGAACATCTGTGGCTGCTGGCTTTCTCGTGTCTTCCATTGTTGGGAACTCATAGACATCGGGGGAGGAGGGAAGGGCTGGCACCTGTCTGGAAGCTGAAGCTGGCAACGCAGACGGGCTTGCCACAGCTGCGAGAGTCTCCAGCTTGGTACTGGACGAGCCAGGAGGAGAACCTGCCTGAGCGGCTTGTGAGGCGAGCAGGGATGATGGAGGTGACCCTGAAGGAGAGAGGTCTGTTCTTACTGCTGTCATGAGAGGCGAGACTCCACCTGTGTTAAAATCAGAGGTGAATCCACTCACTGCTTGAAGACTTGACGCCTCTTTAGTTGGAAGGGCCCACAGAGGAACGGTCCCATTTGCCTTTTCATTTTCCCCCCAAATGGCTGTAACCCTGTCCTCTTTTTGCTGAGGAAATGTCCAAACTGTAGGGGAAAGATTAGGACGCTTGCTGGAGAGGAGGCGTATGGCTACATCAGGAAGGTATCCACCACGGCTATCTTCCTGGGGACTGGCAGCTTCCGGCACGGGGTCTGGGGAGGCACCATCTCTAGTGGGCTGGAGGGTGGTAAGCAGGGAGGGAGGGGCGCCCGTCCCCTTCAGTGGTGATCCAGGAGCCGCCTCAGAAAGGTCCATTTGCTCTTGACTGGGTGTAGTGAGAGGAAGAGGAGGCAGCGAGGAGGAAGGGGTGTTTTCTGGGGGGCGGGAGGGCTTCCTGGAATTCTCCGGAGCGGCTGCCAGATGTGGCCAGGTGGTGGCGCTATTTGCAGGAGGAACAGGGGCTAGCTCTCCGCTGCTCGACCCTGACTCTGCAGTCTGGACATGTAGGGGCCAAGCCTCATAGCTTGCTGCTGCTGTGCCCAGATTAATGGACGATAATACCTCACTGCGCCCTCTGACAGCCCTCGCGGTGGGGCCTGGCTGGGTGGATGCAGAACTCAAGGGCTCTTCCAACATGGGCCACGAGGAGGTTCCACCTGGAAGCCCTCCAGGGGCTACGGAAGGGAGAGACAGTTTTGCCAGGGAGCTCAGAGCCCCCGGAGTCAGGGGACCTGCTGAACGGGGAATCCTTGATGGGGCCAGCTCAGAGTACTGCTTTGTTAAGGATCTAGAAAAATCTAGAGGAGGAGTACCAACGAAAGTCCGGGCATTTCTGGATGGAAAGTGGTTTGTTTTGTGAGAAAATGGTTTTAGGACATTAACTGGGTTCTGACCTGAAGAGGAATCAGCTGGTGTGATTTGGGGGAACACAGGCACTTTGGTGGGGTGCTCTATAGGCTTAGGAGTGATGGAATGAGATGAACCAGGGACCAATGAAGATGATGATGGTGGAGGGAGGAGGGGAAGACTGTCTGACCTCAAGGGATGCTTTGAAAGGGAGGGAGTGCCCACCAGAGGCTGTGATGGGGAAGCAGCCCTCGAGGCAGCTGGTGGGGCTCTAGGCAATGGGGAAAGCATGCTGGTGTGAGGCAAACCTGACATGGCTGTTGCTTCTCTTTCCCCTTCAGGCTTGGGGTGGACCACAGTCTCAATGGAGTCCTTAGCAAGATCCGGGGAGGCGCCGTGTCCACTTCCTTGGTAAAGGGACAAAGAGAAGTCCGCACGAGCCCTGGTCTTGTGGCGTGCCTTGGGAAGAGGTGTCTGGGATAGCTGCAGCAAGCTTGTGTTGTCGGGAGGCTGTCCCAGAACATTCTTGATTTTATCTGCTGCTGAGGAAGACTTGACTTCCAAAAAAGGCCATGTTGGTGAAATTGGTAACAATTTCCCGAGAGGAACGGACTCTGAGGTCGGAGTGACATGTATCTGTAGACTGTCTGTCCCTGTGAAAGAGAGCATCCACGTGAGACATGGAATCGAGATACGGCTCCCATGGGCAGGGGCTGGAGACCAGAGCAGGCAAGACAGCTCTGCCTGGCCACAGAGCCCTTCCTCTCACCATAGACCCTTCGGGAAACAATCCAAACAAGGAACTCAGTACAAATGTGCGTGACAGAGAATTCACAGGGCAGTGCCATAAAAAGTAGTCTTTGATGAAGGAATTCTTTTGAAGACAGGGTCTTACATGTAACTCACAGAGATCTGCCTGTTTCTGCCTCCCGGTGCTGGGGTTAAAGGCGTGTGCAAACCACACCTACTGATAAAAGGACTTTTGAGCAATATTATAAAAGACACTCATGTATTTCATCCCCCCCCCATTTCCTACCAGGCTAAAAGCCCACAAAAATCAGACGTGGCTACCTGCAGCTAACAAATGACATCAAAATAAATCTGAGCCAAGACCCCAAAATGCACAGTACTGAAGAAGGACCATTCTCTATGAACATGTTCTCAGGTCTCTAATACATCTAAAAAAATATCTTCAAGAAAATATTCTAAGGAAAAATGACTTCAATGAAATGCATTTCTCCTGAGTTTAAAGGGATTCCTGGTTCTTTGTTCATGCTGTGTCAAGGAACAGAAGAGATGGCTTTCACATTAGGTTATTTCAAAAGGAAAAATTATTCATCTCCCACCTGGGACAGGAGATACTTCTCAAAAGGCCTGGTGTCACTAGCAGCACCTGCTGAGACCAGAACTGTCAGCACAATGCATGACGCCCCTGGCAGAAAAGTGAGGAGGCTCTGGACCGCAGCAGGAAAGGAAGGTGGGGGAGATGGAATCGTGGGATGGCACACGTCCTTCTCTATGATGCCCTCTTCCTGGCTCCTCTGGGTTGGTGGTACAAAAGGTGGCTAAGTGTTCTTAGCTAATATTTCTCTCCTTCTCTCCTTTCTCTTCTAAGCACCTGTGTGTGTGTGTGTTTACACTGATGTGTGTAAGGTTATCCATGCATGTGGAGGTCAGGCATCACTCTTTGGTTCTCAAGAGCTGTCCACAGTTCCTTGAGATGAGATCTCTCACTGGGATCTGGAACTTGCTAACTAGGCTAGGCTAACCTGCCAGAGAGCCCCAGGGACCCAGCCTCTGGCCTGCACCTCCCCCATGCTGGTTTTATAAGCACGCACCTGCTTGCTTAGCTTTCTGCTGGCCTCTGGAGATCAAACTCAGTTCCTGGTCCTTCAGTCCTTCAGGGGCAAGAACTTTACCAACTGAGCTGTCTCCTTGGGCCCTAAGGCTTTAAGAGTTTTAGACGAAAGGAACGGTACTTGTAGAACTTTCTACAATCTTAGCTAAAATATTAGAGCCGTTTGATAGAAACCATTTATTAGGAATTCAGAAAGTCTGGTTGACAGCCATCCTCAGCCACCCAGAGTTGAGCATGCGTCTCTGGCGTCTGTCGCATAGCTAAGGACAACAGGCACAGCAGAACGAATCCACTCAGCGCCTGTACGGAGCAAATGAACTTGCGGAGGTGAAGGGATGGGCTAATAAGCTCTGATTACAACCTGGGCTAGCCTGTTGACTGTCACCGAGGAGCTGTGGCCCTCTGCTGGAGGAGCACAGGAGCAGATCAGGGTGTGAGGGCTCCTCCCTCCTGGGGTCTGGCTGCCTTTCTCCTCTTCTGTATCCTGCCAACCAAGGAAGTGAACAACTGGAGAAAGTCTTACAACGCGAAAGCTTTATGATAAGCAACATCCTCTCCACGACAAAAGCTCAGTAGTAAGTGCCTTCCGAAATGGTCTTTCCAGTTTCTCCGTGAGACTTGGGAAAAACATATAGATGGGAAGTTTTCACTCCAAGTGAGAGCACATGGACATTTTCCTTTTGATCCTTTGTGTTCTTGTGTTTCTTTAAAGAACAATTTTAAATTATTTTTCTTTTATGTATATGTATGGCTATTTTGCCTGCTTGTATTCATGTGGACCACACGTCCATAGAAGAAGGTGTCAGATCCCCTGGAACTGGAGTTACAGATGGTTGTAAGCCACCATGTGGGTACGAGAAATTGACCCTTGGTCCTTTGAAAGAGCAACAAGTGCTCTTAACCTCTGAGCCATCTCCTCAGCCCTGTATTCTTGTTTTTTTTTTTTTTTTAATTTTCCATTGTTGAGATTCATATATAAGAAATTGGCCTCACGCTTTGTTGACTCCCTCTGGAAGGCCTTATCCTTTCTGAGAAGTGGATGGAGGTGAGTGGTGGGGGAGATAGGGAAGGGGAGGAGGGGAGGAAGGAGAAGTGTGTGGTTGGTATGTAAAATGAATAAAATAAATCAAATATATATAAAAAAGAAGAGAAAGAAATTGGCCTCAAGTCATTTTTAGGATTTGTCAGGGTAGAAGCCCACATTGCCACCATCGTCAATGGGACGCTGTTACATTCTGTAAGGAGACCAATGTCTTCTGAGGAAGCCACCCTAAGCCTGACTGGCTCCTTATAACCATGTCAGGATTCTGGGGGGCCCGACCTGCAGGACCCGAAGCTCCCCGTGGCTCAGCCAGGTAAACCCACCTTCAACAGACAGCAGCAGCAGGAGGCACATGGCTCCAGGACACTAAAATCTACACAGCACTGCACTGAAGTCCCTGCTCTTCCTGGGTCCCCTTTCATGGTCTACAGTGAAAACTACTTCAGTTTCACCACAGGCGACCTGAGGGGTGTCCTCCTGGGCAGCTGAAGTTTCACACGGAGGGCACATACTACTGCTTTCACGCCTCCCCACTCTGCATTCGTGTCCTCTCCTAACAGACACTGTGTATCTGCATCCAGCCATGTCTGGTGATGCATCTGAGTGAATGCAGAATCTGTCGAAGATAGTGTGGCAGTCAGGTGAAATCTATAGACGATCCCTGTTTATTTTTATTGAAACCAATTCATCTGTTGGTGTGATTCCAGAGTCAAAACAAACTCATCTTGTTTCAAAGACACAACCTCGTAACTAAGAAGGATGCTCAAGCTAAGCTTTCATTTCTAGCAAGATGGACTCCCACAAACATGTTGCAAATGGGGGGAGGGATGGATGCTGGGGGGTGATGGGAGGGTCACTGACCACACCAAAGGAGGCTGATGAAAAACCCCAGGCTCTGCATGATGGCCCATGCTGGATTTGTTTCTTCTGACTAGGATCCAGGGTTTCCCAAGGGAGCCTTTATTCTCCCACACGACTCCCAATGCATGGGGAGGAAGTATTTATGAACAGTTTTGAGATGGGCCATCTGCTGTGCATGACACTCATTAATGCTCTCTCTACCCTCTGAGTACATGACGTCATGAAGCCTCATGAATGAACTTCTTAAAATACCACGATGATTGGCGGGCACCATGTGATCAATGAGTCATAAACGAAACGGCAAGTGTGACTTCTGGGTAAGACGTTTAAATGCTGCAGGAAGACATCCCAGAGATCACTTTCTGGGCCAATGAGATGTCTCAGCACTTGAAGGCTTGTGACACCAAGCCCGACAACGATGTGTGTGCATGCATAGAGTTGTGAGTGTGCGTGCATAGAGCTGTGAGTGTGCATGCTTACGGCTGTGAGTGTGCATGCATAGAGCTGTGAGTGTGTGTGCATAGAGCTGTGAGTGTGCATAGAAGTGTGCATGCATAGAGCTGTTAGTGTGTGTGCATAGAGCTGTTAGTGTGTGCGCATAGAGCTGTGGGTGTGCATGCATAGAGCTGTGAGTGTGCGTGCATAGAGCTGTGGGTGTGCGTGCATAGAGCTGTGGGTGTGCGTGCATAGAGCTGTGAGTGTGCGTGCATAGAGCTGTGGGTGTGTGTGCATAGAGCTGTGAGTGTGCGTGCATAGAGCTGTGGGTGTGCGTGCATAGAGCTGTGAGTGTGCATAGAGCTGTGAGTGAGTGTGCATAGAGCTGTGTGTATGCATAGAGCTGTGAGTGTGTGTGCATAGAGCTGTGAGTGTGCGTGCATAGAGCTGTGAGTGTGTGTGCATAGAGCTGTGAGTGTGTGTGCATGGAGCTGCCAGTGAATGAATGGGCCAGTGAGCTAAACACACCTCCAAAGAAGAAATACAAGTATCCAATAAATAATTATTTTAAAGTCCAACATCTAACAATCAGGTAACTCTAAATTAAAACTACTCAGAGATTCTGTCTCACTAGAGGCAGAATGATGCCATTTAAAAATGCTGCAAAGATGTGAGGAGTTGGAACCCTTAGTCACTGTTGGAGTATAGACCGGGGAGGTCACTATAGACATCAGCATGGACATTTACCATACCCCACCCACCCCACTCCTGGGCGTATGACCAAAGGACCTCCCTGTCCCATCTCTGAGTTACTTGTCCATCCATGTCTATTACTTCTTTAGTCACAATAGCAAGAACATCAAGTCAGCTTAGATGTCCATCAACAGATGATTGGATAATGATTTTTCAACTGTAAAGAAAAATGAAAAGTATAGGAAAACATGGAACTGGAAAATACTATGTTAAGAGAGGTAGCCCAGGCAACAGGTAACCAGGCAAGACAAGTATCACATGCCCTCTCCCATACAAAGGTCCTAGCTTCTAATTTGTTTATGTCTGTATGTATGTGGGATGGGGGCGGGTAGAGGTTATGGAACCAGAAAGGGCCCAAGGTAGGGGGGGAGGTTTTAACTTAGGGGGTGGAAGGATATTAGAAAATATTAGAAAGGAGGACAGTGGGGACAGAAGGCAGTGGCAAGGAGAGGGGCAAGAAGGGCAGGGAGAGGATCAACCAAACAGTAAGTATGAAAGAGTCAAAGGGAACATATCATTTTTAGGGAGATTTAAAAATAAAACATTAAGTTAAAATTCTAAAACTGAGTTAGCATCAAATCCACTGTTCTCTGTACTGCTCAGTCAAGATGACACCTGAGTGTCACATTAAGAAACTGACATGGAGGGCCAGCAACACGGCAGTCTTAGGTACAATTCTATCGCTGTGATGAGACTCCATGACC